TAACCAGTCAGAAGAGAATTTGTTTTGGTAAACTACAAGTAGGAAACTTAAGCAGCTTGAGAAAGTATAACAACAACAATAACAAAAAAAACAGCACATCTTTTACTCAATATCTAGAAACCAGCAACTCTCCTAACAGGGAAACAAGACAAGGATGTTCCTTCTCATCGCTTCTCTTCAACTTCATACTGAGAATTCTCCTGGCTATATCAATAGGAAAAATAAAGGAGAGGTATAGAGATTAGGAATATATCACTTTGTTTACAGGTGGTCTGAGTGTTGATGTAGAAAACCCCAAATAACCAACAAGGAAATTCCTAGAGTGGAGAAATCCCTGTGGCAAGGCTGTACCAGAAGGCTATACACAAACTTGGAGAAAATATTTGTACACACTACACGGAGTACAAGACTGTGGTCCCGAGTATATGGAGAACTACTACACAACACTAGAAAAACAAGCCAGCGTTCTTCACAGGCGTTCTACCAAAGAGGACATGCAGGTGGGGAGTAAGCCGGGGGAGATGGACGTTAAAACGGGAAGTCACCACACACCTGTCAGCATGGCTGAGACTCAGAAACCAACAACACCAAATGCCACCCACAAAGCAGGACAGGAACGCTCATCCACAGCTAACAGTAATGGGAAGCAGCTTGTGAAACCCACACATCGACTTGACAGCTTCTGACAAAACTAATTACACTTTTATTATAAATGAAACAATGACACTCCCGTACGGGCAGGAGCAAACGCTGTATGGATGTTTAAAATAGCTTTCATTCATAATTCTCAAAACTCGGGAGCATTTCGGGTACCCTTTAGTAGGCAAGTAGGTGGATAAGGTGTCTGTCACGTGTCCAGACAATAGAAATCTATCAGCTGGGTGTGGTCTCTGTGAGTTTGAGGCCAGCCAGGTCTACACAGTGAGTTCCAGTCCAGCCAGAATTACACGAGCCATCTCCGCAGTCCTCTGACACTGTTTATATAACTGAGATATAACACACCCACCATAAGACGCACTGTTTGAAAAGACCCACTGGATGGCTCCCACAGCAGTCTCTCCACATTCTCCCTCTCAGCCTCCAACAGCCATGAACGCAGCTTCTATCTTGGGTTTTCATGCTGGACCGTTCATGTATGGAATAATGCAGTGGACAGCGTGTTGTTGTGTAGCATGTTTGCAGGGTTTATCCACGCTGCCATATGTATCACAATTTTGTTCTTCTTGATGGCTGGGTATTATTCCATTGTCTACATATGCCATGCTTTGTTAACCTGCTAGGCTGCATGGCCTCCGTAGCTGTTAAGAGCAATGCTGCTTCTAATAGTCTTGAACACTTTTATAGATGGACATTTTCTAAGAACCTACATTTGATATTCATTTCTAGCAAGTTTTCTTTTCTTTAGACCTAATTTTTATTGTATGTTTGTGTATTTGCCACATGCATGCAGTACCAGAAGTGGGCAGCAGAGGGCTTTGGCTTCCTTGCAGCTGGAGTAAGGAGCAGATGAACCTTGTGAGCTGCTTGATGTGGACGCCAGGAACCAAACCAGAGACTCTGAAGCCAGGGCACACTCTTGAGCTTCCCTTTCCACATGTTGCCCCTTTGCTCCTGAGAAACATCACCCACCCTTTATTTTCCAAGTTTGATCACTGTCTTGCTAGATGACAATTTGATCGCCACTTTAGGTTCAAGCCAAATTGAGAGGACAGCAGAGAGATTTGCTGAGCATCCTGTGCTTCCTGTGCTGTGCAGCACCCTGGTGAGCAGCACAAGCCTGAGGACCTAAGTTTGAATCCCCGGGATCTGTTTTCATGTTTTCTCTCTTTTTAGTTTATTTTATGTATATATGTGTATTGTCTGTATAATGATCTGTCCTGTCCCTTTAAGAGAAAGCCACAACCACTCCCTCCCCTTCCTTTTTGGTCTTCCTCTGGAAGAGGCAACTTCTGTCTCTTCCTACTTTCTCTTTCTCTCTACCTCTCTACTCTTCTCTCCTCTCTCTTCCCTTCCATAACCCACTAAATAAATCTCCAACCTCACTCTGCACAGCATGCCTATCCATGTCTCTGTCTCTCTCCTACCGCATGGCTCCCTGCCAGGAACCAGCAGCCTTAGGAGACTTCAGCATGGTCTCATGGCATGCCTGTCTGTCTCTCCTTGTGAGACTGGCTGCCCCATTGAGGTCTCTCATCCACCATGTGGCTCCCTGCCTGGGACTCATGGCCCACTGCAGCCACTCAGGAAACTGTGTCATCCCTGCCTGGGACTGGCTGCTCTCAGGACCTGCTGCCCGTTGCCTGCACTGCTGCTTGGGGACCTGCAGTGTTTCTGCTGCTGCAGTCACTTGGGGATCTGCAGCATGTTTATTTAATCCATTACAGTCTGTATGTATGGCTAAGCATCACATGCATGCCTGGAGCCTACAGAGGCGAGAAGAGGGTGTCAGGTCCTCTGGAAATGGAGTTACAGACAGTTGTGAGGAACCACCTAGGCCTAACATCCATGTTTAAAAAGCCAGGAAAACATGATAAAGGAGGGAGTGGGGGATTGCTGGGGCTCTCTGGCTGCCACAGGCCAAACTCTAGGCTCTGTGAGAGACCCAGTGTCACAGGAGCATGGCAGAGAATGACAGGACACCTGACTCTCCGTTTGCCACACATATGCGCAGGCACATGCATCACTCCACACACACACACACATACACACACGCACACACATACAATGTGCCTGAAGTCAAGAACACCACACCACATACATACATACATACATACACACACACACATACACACACACAATGTGCCGGAATTCAAGAGCACCACATCCACACACACACACACACACATACACACACACACACAATGTGCTGGAAGTCAAGAGCACCACACCACATACATACATACATACATACACACACACACAATTGGCCGGAAGTCAAGAGCCCCATACCACATACACAAATACATACACACATGCACACACACACACACACACACACACACACAATGTGCTGGAAGTCAAGAGCACCACACCACATACACAAATACATACACACATGCACACACACACACACACACACAATGTGCTGGAAGTCAAGAGCACCACACCACATACACACACACATACAATGTACTGGAAGACAAGAGCACCACACCACATACATACACACATGCACACACACACACACACACACACACACACACACACAATGTGCCGGAAGTCAAGAGCACCACACCACATACATACACACACACACACACAAACACACACACACACAATGTGCTGGAAGTCAAGAGCACCACACCACATACACACACACACATACAATGTACTGGAAGTCAAGAGCACCACACCACATACACACACACATACAATGTACTGGAAGTCAAGAGCACCATACCACATACAAACACACATACAATGTACTGGAAGTCAAGAGCACCACACCACATACACACACACATATAATGTACTGGAAGTCAAGAGCACCATACCACACACATACACACACACACACACAATGTGCCGGAAGTCAAGAGCACCACACCACATACATACATACACACACATACACACAATGTGCCGGAAGTCAAGAGCACCATACCACACACACACACACACACAATGTGCCGGAAGTCAAGAGCACCATACCACACACACACACACACACACAATGTGCCGGAAGTCAAGAGCACCACACCGCATACATACACACACAATGTACTGGAAGCCTGTGTTGTGTGCAGCAGACCCTGAGTTCCACCCCAGCACTGGACACACAGGTCACCTCAGTATTTAGGTGTTGGCAGGATTAGGAATTCAAGGTCATCCTCATCCACAAAGAGAATGTGAGCCAAGCTCTCATTTACATGAGACCCTAACTTTAAAAAAAAAGTAGAAATTAAAGAAAGGCAAAATATATATTCATGACTAGAGTTTTCCCTCACTGGTACCAAATGAAATTATTAATGGCAGATTTCAACAGCCTGTTAAAAACCTGTGTTTATGTTCAAGTAGAAAACCATCTTGCAGCTACTGAAAGGAAAAAAAGCTACCCCTGAGGGCTGAGTTGTGGCTCAGCAACAGCCCCCTCCACTTCTTTCCTGCCAGAGGCCTGACTTTCAGCCCCAGCACCACAAAGAAATGAAGCCTGGGGGCTGAAACCTCAGACACACACACCAGGAAACAGGTCTTGGGTCACGTGACAGCACCTCTGTCACAGCCATTACACAAGCCAGTCCTGACAGATGAGGAAGTGAGAAGCGCAGAGCAGGCTGATCTGCTGCTAAGTCACAGCTTGCCCCCCTTCCCTCACCAGGCCATCGTCCCTTCCTGAACGGGAGATCTGACCAAGCTTTATTCCTATACGCAGCCCTGTGGTGATGGAATAACACGTGAGAGACAAGAGTCAACTTAAACGCACGCAGGCACCTACTAGGAACCCAGACAGAAAGAATTTAACAAAGAAACCGTGTCTGGCTATTGAGTTCCTGCTACAGCTTGTGACTTGGTGTTCAAACACCAAGTTGTTTCCACTCATTTTCGCAACCATCTGCCAGGCAGGAACACTCCTCCCGTTTGGACTGATGGGCGGAGACCAGAAGGCTGGAAGGATGAGTGGACTTGATTTTGAATGCTCCTACCTGCATAGCGGTGTGTCCAGGGCCCCTGCCTCAGATAGAAATAGAACCTTAAGACCTCGGTGCACCGGGCTGTAGAGGTGGCTTCAGTAGTTAAGAGCATGGAGTGTTCTTGCAGAGGACTTGAGTTTAATTCCCGCACTTCCATGCGATTAAAAATAAAATATTTTTTTTTTTTTAAAAAAAAATCTTCACCCAGGAGGCAGAGGCAGGCGATCTCTGAGATCGAGACCAGCCTGGTCTACAAGAGCAAGTCCACCATGACTATCCCCAGAGCCCCCAAACAGCAGGAAGGCAGAAGTTCTAGAGGGAAAGTGGAAGGACCACACCGAGCCTCCACGAGCCGGGCCGAGCTGCTCAGTCATTCACCAGACAGTTTTATTCTCTATCGTTACACTGAAGGGGTCTATGCCCAGATGACAAGCACAGGCTTCCCTGATCAAATTCAGGGACACTTCCCGCAGTGGGTCAAAATACTGTGAATAATTCCACAAGCAAAGCTCCCCCAGGATATGGCTGGCGACTCCCCCACAGGAAAAGCAGAGGGAGGATGTGGCTTACCCAGCAGGTCCCCGCACTTGTGCCACTTCAGTCCACCACAGGGCTCTTAAAGGAGTCAGTGGACATACCGAGAAGGCAGAACACTCAGTCATGGCCACACAGCCCTAGAGATGGCAGATGTGCTCCCTGTGATGGCATTTCACCAAGGACACCTTAGTTTGGGGTCAGGAGTTAGGGGAGCACTTTGTGCACCGAGGTAAGAATACCAGCACAATAAACTGGAAATGACCAGGACCATCCAGTAAGTGGAAGGTGGACAAACCGCGATGCAGCTCCATCACGACCCCGGTCCTATCATTCAGCCAAGTTTCAGAAGCATTTGCCACAACTGGGGAGAGGATAAGGCAACGGATCCATGGGACTTTTCAGAAGTGCTTTTGTTTTAAGCAAGTCCAGGTCATTCACAAAGGGAAGACAGGTACAGTGTTGGACCCTGAGGAGTTTACAGTCTCAATAGAAAAAGAAGTATGTACAGGAAAAAGTGAATAACATAAACATCAATAATAATAGGAGCAGTTCCATGAGGAATTTCAATGACGGAAAGCAGCAGAAGGGTCACGAAAGCTGCCCCTGCCAGTCCGGGGAAGAGTTCCAACTTAGGGTGGTGATTTGTGGGGAAGAAACCGCGAAGCTGGAACTCAGAGCTGGACCTTCACACCAAATGAGGGCTTTGAACATGGGGCTGTGGGCAGTCTTCAAACTCTTGGGGAGCCTCTGAGCTTTCTGCTCAAACCCAGCGTGTCTGACGACACTTCACTCCAGAACAGTGGGGTGTGAGGAAGCACTGCCGCTCAGCAAGACAGAATTGCGACACAAGTCAGCATGTCGCCCACAGAATCAGTCTGAGTCACACCAACAGGGTCTTCTTTTCCAGGTTCCCTGCTGTCGACCACCAGCCCTGGTCTCCTCACACCATCCAGCTCAGCCAACAGATTCAGCGAGGCCAGGACAGTGTGTGATGCCGAAAGACATCTGGTGTACACTTGGGGACCCCATACCAACATGACAGACACTTCCAAAGTGTCCCCAAATGCTGATCTCATCTGAGCTCAGGGTCAGCCACGCCAGGCTCCTGACTCCTCCCCAACTTCTCAATCTTGGAGGAAAATGAATGTCTTTGTCTACCGGTCACCTGGCCAGGAATGGGCAGCACCCTGTGTCCAGAATGTGCACTTCTATGAGCTGACAGGGGCACGGAACCTGTGCAGAATCTGTGTGTCGGGCTCCCATTGGCCGGGGCAACTGGGAGGTCACCAGGAGCCGAGTGTAGTAGCCACCAAACACTGCCAGTAGCTGCCGGGCCATCTCCTGCAAGAGTCATGGAAGCAACATGAGCACAGAAGACAGTTCTGGGGGCCAAGCCAAATCCTGCCCTACCCATGAGGCATGCTCCAGGGAAGAACAGGTCAGACCACTGCCTAGGGCTCTTGGAAGATGCAGTCTGGCCAAGAACCCCCATTCTGCAACTCACTGGAACTTCCGTGGCCCTGGCTGCTTCATCCCCAAGGAGGTCTTACTAACAAGACACACAGGGTTCTTCTTGGAAGCAAATCATGCACCTAGCATGCCTGATGCCCCGGGTTCCATCCCAAGCACCACAGATGTTAGTATGCCCCAGAAGACCTCTACCCTCAGAGCACTGGAGAAGTATCACCCCGGCCCTACCTACACCCTCTTCACACTTTCTAAAGCCCATGAATCTGTACGGTCCATGAGTTCAGACTGACTCACTTGGAGAAAATCACTAGTGGGGCTGGATGGGGAGAAGCATCCCATGACAGGAGACCTTCAGTTCACATATGGTGCCTGGTCAGCATCCTGCTACCAGATGTAATAAGGGTTTGCTGATGGAAACTGAGTACCACAGAGGAACAATACTATGCACGAAGGACACAGTGGCCCCAGGTTGTGGGGGAAGCAGAAGGGAGGTTAGCGTTGCTGGGTGTGGGGTCCAGAGGGGTTGCACTGTACAGCTACTAATTAAAAACAGGTGCGGAGATCAAGGACAGAAGAATTCCAGCTCCTCCATGCCGCACTCACTGGGCAAGTGTCGGCCTGGCTGAGGCACTGTCTTCACTGGCAGGCAATATGTGCTGTCGTGAGGTGGGCGAGGCCAGCTCAGTAAATATCACTGGATCCATCACCAATACTGAGAGCAGAAGCCAGGCTCACCCCTGGAACCTCAGCATTTGCTCAGCCTAGCCTCGCCAATCAGCCCAAGATCAATACTCTAAGAACCAATGCCCTCTCCTGCCTTCTCCCTCGTTCTGAGAACCAGGCCAGTCTCACTCCACCCATCAAAGAAGGGAAGGTCATCGAGACCTCAGGGATGTGCTGACATGTCCTTTGCAGGATAAAAATCCTTACAAATGTGAGAGACTGTTCTGATTCTTTCCATCTGTCACAGACTCTGGGCTCCTCCAGACACAGGGAGTCTAGCTGCCCATTGAGACCTGAGTAGAGGTTATATTTTCCCTAGCTAACTGATAAGCTACTTTCAAAATGTGCATACAGAAACATACACACATGGTAATTCAGGACAGGAAATTGTGTTTCTAAGGGTTTGAGGAAATTTGAAAGAAGAACTTGAAAGGGCCATATTTAATGAGCTACTGCATGCCAACCCAGACACACAAGCCCCTTGAATAAAGCATGTGACCTTATCAGTTCTGCTCTGAAAAAAAAAGTGAAAGACTAATCATTTTCTTTCTTAAGTAACCCTCTGTGAAGGGGAAGGCTGGGTTGGGCTCGACCTTGATTCTCTGAATCCCAGGAAGGAAAGGAAAATGCAAGTATTGCCAAAGCTCCAAATGCCACCTAAGGTCATCCCTCTACTTGGGTCTGTCCTCATAGCTCACATAGCTACCAGGAAGGAACCAGACCCACACAGAACCCAAGGACAGAACCTGGCAAGGTTATGGGGCTGATGGAGCCAGAAATAAGAGGATTCCCACAACAGCTCCAAGAAGTTTAAGACTTAAGTAGATAGGTGGGTGGATGATTGATGGATGAAGATAGATAATGGAGATAGACAGATGGACAGATGGATGGATGGATGGATGGACGGGTGGATGGACAGGTGGGTGGGTGGATGGATGGATGGATGGATGGAGATGATGGTTGATGATAGACAGACAGATGGAGGTGATGGATGATAGACGGATGGACGGATGAATGGATGATGACAGATGGATGGATGGATGGACAATGATGGATAGATAGATACATGAACATGTGATTGATCAACAGAATCTTTTTCTTTGAGACAAGGTATCCCTGTATAGTTCAGACTGGGCTTAGACCTGCAACTCTCCTACTGCCGCATCTTGAGTGCTGGCATTACAAGTATGTGTTACCATATCATGTCTAGCAACAGATTTTTAAAAGACCAATATTCATCTAAATGATGACAGGCTATGACTCATCAACACTCAATGGTCCTTGCAGTCAGTGTAGCTATCAAAAAGAATGGCCAAGATATTTAAACATGCCAACAAAAGTACCGGAAGTACAAAGTTAATTCCCATAAGTGCTTTAAAGTGCTGGTGTAAAGATGAAGCGTACCATCGCAGCAGCTGGAAGGTTTATGGGTATGCCAATCTAGGCTACAAAGCTAAACTCTGTCTCAAAAAAGAAAGGTGTCAGAATAAACAAAAATATGTGTTGGCGTGACAACAACAGTCAAAGAATGTGAAGACATCTCTGACCTACAAGTTATAAATGGTTTGTAGCAACTCAGAGAGCCTATAACCCCAAGACCTAAACCTTGAATCTTCACTCAGATCACGATCACACACGGGCCCCACGGGAGGACTTTACCAACTGCTGTGGCATCATTACCTCCGGCTCAGCCTCCGGAACAAGCTGATAGAGTTCAGTCTGCATGAGTGGTCTCTCTGGAGGACCAGGAGTGCTGGGTAGCAGGGGGGCATCCTCCAAGTCCTCAGGCCCTTCCACCACAGGGTTCACTCCTGTCTCCATGACAACACATAGCTGGCTTAATTTGTTTCTCAGCACAGACTACAAAGAAACAGAGGGGACACAGGTGTGGTCTGAGTCTGGCAGGCTGTGAAAGGGTGGACCAGCTAGAGAGTCAGACAGCTGATCTCAAGAAGCCACGCCAATGAGATCACAATATTCCCCACAAAAGCAGAGTCCTGTGATGGAGGAAGGTCATTGGTTAATTAATAAAGAAACTGCTTGGCCTAATAGGTTAGAACATAGGTGGGTGGAGTAAACAGAACAGAATGCTGGGAGGAAGAGGAAGTGAGCTCAGACACCATGCAGCTCCTCTCCAGGGCAGACGCCTTGCAGCCAGACGCCAGGTCAGACATGCTGAATCTTTCCTGGTAAGACTGGTGCTACACAGATCACTAAATATGGGTTAGGCAAGATTGTGAGAATTAGCCATTAAGAGGCTAGAACTAATGGGCAAAGCAGTGTTTATATGAATACAGTTTGTGTGTTGTTATTTTGGGGCATAAGCTAGCCAGGCGGCCGGGAGCTGGGCAGCAGGAATGTAGCCCACAGCTCAGTCAACAGTCCTGGGAAGCTGCTGAAGGTCCTGGAGGGCAAACCCTGCCTGAAGTCACAGGTCTAGGCAGCCAGGAGCAGGGTGCCATGGCAATCCTGACCTCAGGATGCAGAGACCCCAGGACACAGCTAATCCTAGGGAAAGATGCTAGTCATCTTACCTCTTGGCTCCTCTTCATTTCCTGAATATGATCAGACAAAAACTGCACACAGCTCTCCAGGTCGAAGTAGACAAACCAGAGCTGTGGAGAGAAGCAGCAGTGGCCTGACCTTAAATTTCTAACCCAAGTTTATCCCGAGCTCCCGCTCTTCATCCCTTTGACAACCACCCGGCAGTGTGACTGCACTCATCTATATGGCTGCAGAGGATCAAATGGGGGTACTGGAACTGAACCCAAGACAGAATGCTAGGGGGACACACTATCACTAAGCTACATGGTCACACACACCCACCCCCCAAAAATGGCTTTGCAAACAAATTCAGAATATGTCCAACCACAAACAAAATGGGGAGGCTCCATCTCCTACAGAGAATCCCAGGCAGATCCCAACTTCTTTGGCCTTCACATGTCCACTGGGGCAAAGGACTAGCATCCTTACCCTCAGCAGTATGGGTACTATTCTGTCTGAGACCCAGATACACAAAGGAGAAAAGCCCTCACAAATGACATCTTCATCAACCAGAACTAAACTCAACGATGTGGAAGGAGCGCAGGTAAGAAAGATGTCCTGGGGATACTCCAGGCCTTCCCTCCCACCTTCAGAAGCCCTCTGGCGAGGACACCCGTACAAGGCCCAAACCTTCCATTTCCATTGAGATGCCTTGATGGTGCCACATTCACAATAACCAAGTTCTGAAGAACAGTAAAATCCTGAGTCTAACATCTGCAAGGTCGTGACCTTGCTCCCTGCTCAGGGCAACTGACCCATGAGACCAAAAGGCACAGCTCCTGCCACATAGTCTCTCTCTCTCCGGCTCACCTCAAGAAGGATCTGTCCACATACCTTTTTTAAAGTCTTTTCACTGTGAAAAAATATCAGCTACACACAGGAAACGGGAGTCTCTATCCTTTAAAAATTCAACTTGTGCCCACCCTGTTGAGCGCCACCTCTCTCCTTGCCCATCACATCACCCAGCAGCCCCAAGGACCCTAAAAGACATCCAGACACTGCATTATCTCATCCCAAGATGGCACTGTGACGATGGGAGGAACCACTCTGAAAGATGTGTCCCTTCATTAGTCACCTGGAAACCAGCAGATTCAACGACATTCCAGGGTCTCTCCTACACGTCAACTGATAGGGAAGACTGGGAAATGAATGAGGCAAGGAAGATGCAAAAGTGCCATTTGAACGGCCAGGAATCTTGTGCCACTATCCCAGGTAAGATAACTTTATATTGCATGCTATCCCAGGTGTGATCAGCTCCACAAAACTGACTCGTGTCCTCAGCCCAGCTCTGCCCAGAGAGCAGTGCCTAGCATGCGGAAGCTCTCGGCAAACATCTGTCAGACTCAGAGAAGGCACACCTCCTCACACTCTAGGCACTAGCTCGGCTTCCTGGCTATGAAGGCTGTGTCCCTCCCTAAGTCCTGCTATCTTCAGCTGTAGACTAAGAATAAAGGACACCGCTGCTCCACAGAGGGAGGAGAGATCTTACCAGGACTTTACTTTGGACGCAGACAGGATCAGACCCTGCCTCAGCCATGTCCCACGCACGACCTCCTACTGTAAGATCTCTCTACTCCCTTAGGGACACAGAAAGCTACTGAGCGTCACACAGCTTCTCCAGCCTCGTCTCTCCTGCCATGAGATTTCACGGTCCCTTTAAAGCCACTGCGACTGTGTGTTGTCATCTTCATGGGTATGCAGGTTTACACTGGATAGGGACACTGATTCCTACAGTGCCCAACTGCAGGGTTCAGCACAGAGGAGTCCTGAGGAGAGGGGAGGGCCACTCACAGCAGCACAGCAGACACTGGACCTCACAGGGCAGGCCAAGACAGCGCAAGGCCACCTGCAAGTGGGCCAGCAGGAGGGGTCACTCTGAGACACAGTACCTGGATCACACTCTGGCACCCTTCCACTGTGTCTGTCGCCCCGAGCAGCACGCGGTGTCTCAGAAGGGCTTCATTGGCGGCCATCAGCCTCAGGTCTGTGTTAGTGTTAGCCTAAAAGACAAGTGCCCGGCCCAAGGCTGACCTCCAAGGAGGTCCCAAGGAGCTCCTCAGCCATGGACATTACAATTGTCCCTCTCCCAAAGGCCACACATCAATCTTCACGCTCAAGGCAACTCTATTCTCCCCCTAAGGTGAACTCGGTGTTAAACAGCTGGAGCCAAAGCCTGGCTCTGGCTTCCTGGCTGGACTGCCTGTGCCCCTCCATTGCGTCTCCCTGTCTTAAGTGGCAGATTAATAAAAGAGCACACCCCCTCCTCCCAGGAGTGAGGCAAGAGCTCACTAAGCTGTGAAGGAAGTCTTTACTTAGCCCCGGCTAGACAACATCCTAATGCAGTGGTCTCTGAGGGAATACGAGGGGCAGACAGATGGTCTGTTTGCATGGACAGAACCAACTCTACTAACAACACACCTTTAAGAAACCCTGGCCTTGAACCTGGAAACAACCTAGATGCCCTTCAATGGAAGAATGGATGAAGAAAGTGTGGAATATCTACACATTAGAGTACTACGCTGCGGTAAAAAACAATGACTTCTCAAATTTTGCATGCAAATGGATGGAAATAGACAACACTATCCTGAGTGAGGTAACCCAGACCCAAAAAGATGAATATGGGATGTACTCACTCATAATTGGTTTCTAGCCATAAATAAGGGTCATGGAGTCTACAATTGGTGATCCCAAAGAAGCTAAGTAAGAAGGTGAACCAAAGGAAAAACATAAGTAGTCCTCTTGGCTATGGGAAGTAGACAAAATTGCCGGGGAGAAAATTGGGATCTTGGGGGTGGGGTGGGATGGGGGTAAGGGGAGATGGGGAGAGAAAAGGGAGAAGGGGAGAATGGGGGGAACTTGGGGAAAAAGGAGGATTGGGATAAAGGAAGGTTGGATAGGGGAGCACGGAAGCACAATTCTTAGTTAAGGGAGGCACCTTAGAGTTGGCAAGAGACTTGAACCTAGAGTGGCTCCCAGATGCCCAAGCCGAGGTCCCCAGTTAGTTCCTTGGGCAGCTGAGGATAGGGAACCTGAAATGACCCTATCCTATAGCAATACTGACGAATATCTTGCATATCATCATAGAACCTTCATCTGGTGATGGATGGAGATAGAGACAGAGACCCACACTGGAGCACTGGACTGAGCTCCCAAGGTCCCAATGAGGAGCAGAAGGAGGGAGAACATGAGCAAAGAAGTCGGGACCACGAGGGGTGCACCCACCCACTGAGACAGTGGAGCTGATCTATTGGGAGCTCACCAAGGCCAGCTGGACTGTGACTGAAAAAGCATGGGATAAAACTGGACTCTCTGAGCATGGCGAACAATGAGGGCTGATGAGAAGCCAAGGACAATGGCACGGGGTTTTGAACCTACGTAATGTGCTGGCTTTGTGGGAACCTAGCCAGTTTGGATGTCCTAGGAATGGACGGAGAGGGGAGGACCTAGGACTTACCACAGGGCAGGGAACCCTGACTGCTCTTTGGACTGGAGAGGGAGGGGGAGAGTAGTGGGGGGAGGGGGAGAAGGGTGGAAGGAGGGGGAGAAGGGTGGGAGGAGGGGGAGGGAAATGGGAGGCTGGTAGGAGGTGGAAACTTTTTTTTTCTCCTTTTCTCAATAAAAAAAATGGAAATAAATAAATAAATAAATAAATAAATAAATAAAAAACCCTGGCCTTAGCCTCCAGCAAGCCAGGGGTGAGGCATGTTCTCCCAGGCCATGTGCTAACAGGTTCACAGCCCTCAGAGAAGCTGTCTCCTCCAACTCCCACCCATACGAGGCAATGTCAAATCTGCAGCTGGCAGACACCAAGGAGACCACAGAGGGGGAGAGAGGTATAACAGACCCAGAGCAGTGGCCTGGGGAAGAGACCCTCGGGGTCTTTAGCAGCAACCCCTAGAGTAGTCGAAGGGAAGTGCTCAGAAAGAGCAGGCCCCACGGGGAAACTGGACATGTGCAGGGCTCTCCCGCAGGGCCACACAGAAGGGTGAGGGTGGCCAGTACATGCCTCCTACTGCAGGACTGGCCCATGAGAAAGTTCTACATGCCCAGGGCCTGTCCTCTGGAAAAAGATCACTGGGCATGGAGGAGGTAGAAATTCTCAGTATGTCATCTTAACTCCCCACACACATGGGTTCACCCGGGGTCACAGTGCACTGGAATGCCCCCACTGTCTGTGATCAGGACTCGCCTGTTGAGAAACTCACTCACTGAGAGTTCAGTCCCTGCCTCACCGCCTGTGTCACCCTGTGGAAACTGCCCTGACTGAACAATGACAAAAGAAGCCACCGCATGTGGACCACTCGAGGGTGGACGAACCGGACATGTGACAGGGAACCTGTGTTTTCCACTGCGTCACCCTGGCCACACACGGGCGGAGTCTCAGCTATTGTGCCCACCACCCTTCTATTCTTGAGAAGGGCTAGTCACTCACCACATGAGGGGAGAAAGCAATGGAGGGGCATGGAAGCCTGAGATCCTCAGAGACACTAAGTGACGCAGGGAGGGCACTAATCCTCAGGGGCACAATCAGGAAGAAGAGGTCTGCCAGGTCCTAATAAGAAATCCCCGAGGACAGCTGAGAACCAGGGAGACAGGCAAGTCTATCTTGAACTTCCCTGAGCTTTTCTTCACGGGCAAACAAAGTCAACAACGATAACGATTACTACTTATGGAGCGGTCACTGTATACCAGTGCTATTGTGAGTGCTGTGCTTTCCACATAAAATAATACCTTCAGTTCCCACAGTCGCCCTATGACAGAGCCAGAGGAAACAGGACCGAGCAGTGCAACTTAGCCCGCCCCAGGTTGTGGAGCTAACAGATCACAGAGAGTCCGTGTCCCTACAACACTGCTGGGCACAGACATCAAGCTGGCAGCACAGAGCACACAGTGGCTTCCCAGAGAACAGACATCAGTACTAGAAAGACAGGACCCTGGCAGGGTTTCTCAAGTAACCAAAGAGCCTAGGGAATCGTTTCTGGACTCTTCACCTAGCGCCTCTGGCCGCACCTGTGAGCAGAGAGCAGGTCTTTCTCTGTGACCTGTGTCAAGGACCTCACCTGGCCGTCCCTGACGTCACAGAAGGGGCGGGGAGGAGGCCGAGCATCCAGCAGGCACCCTAGACTGCGTGAGTCACTCATGGGTGTCAGTGAGAGGAAGTGGACTGCTAGCTTTTCTCTTCACCTCTCCCTCCTGAGGCTGATGGCTGGCTTTCTCCTCCTCCCAAAAGAAGCATCGCCTAACAGAAGGCGCAATTTATTTTCATAGACCACGGACAAACATTATAAAGGCCCGAACAGAGTCCAGGGGCAGCATTATCTTGTCGGACGAGAAGCAAAGCCTAACAAAGATCCTTTCAGAACGGTTTGTCCCTGTGTCACAGGCATGAAGCCAAGCCAAGCTATGCCGAAGTGGAGCACTCGCTAAGGTCCACAGATTCAGGACATGGGGCAGGAGCTTCTCTGGGTACCCAAAGATAGCACCCTGAGCTAGGCAGAATAATAACCTAAATCCAAGCGTCTTCCCCGAACTTGAGAATACACTGTCACACAGCACAGTGAAGCAGAGCAGAAGCTGCTCAGCTGACCTTACACAAGGAGAGGGTTTTAGCTGCTCAGCTGACCTTACACGGGGAGAGGGTCTTGGCTGCTCAGCTGACCTTACATGGGGAGAGGGTCTTGGCTGCTCAGCTGACCTTACACGGGGAGAGGGTCTTGGCTGCTCAGCTGACCTTACACGGGGAGAGGGTCTTGGCTGCTCAGCTGACCTTATGCAGGGAGAGGGTCTTGGCTGCTCAGCTGACCTTACATGGGGAGAGGGTCTTGGCTGCTCAGCTGACCTTACACGGGGAGAGGGTCTTGGCTGCTCAGCTGACCTTACACGGGGAGAGGGTCTTGGCTGCTCAGCTGACCTTACACGGGGAGAGGGTCTTGGCTGCTCAGCTGACCTTACATGGGGAGAGGGTCTTGGCTGCTCAGCTGACCTTACACGGGGAGAGGGTCTTGGCTGCTCAGCTGACCTTACACGGGGAGAGGGTCTTGGCTGCTCAGCTGACCTTACACGGGGAGAGGGTCTTGGCTGCTCAGCTGACCTTACACGGGGAGAGGGTCTTGGCTGCTCAGCTGACCTTATGCAGGGAGAGGGTCTTGGCTGCTCAGCTGACCTTATGCAGGGAGAGGGTCTTGGCTGCTCAGCTGACCTTACATAGGGAGAGAGTCTTGGCTGCTCAGCTGACCTTACACGGGGAGAGAGTCTTGGCTGCTCAGCTGACCTTACACGGGGAGAGAGTCTTGGCTGTTCAGCTGACCTTACACGGGGAGAGGGTCTTGGCTGCCTAGGTGGAGCCACATAACCATGGAGTCCTGAAAGAGGAGACACCCCAGGAGCTCTGCCAATCTCTGCAAGAGTCTAAAGAAAGAAGTTTATATTTGTGACAGAAGCCCTGGAGGCCACACACTCGGTGCTCTGAGAGTCTTCCTGGACCTCTGCTCCCTGTCCAGAGTCACAAGGTGTTACCATGGAAAGCCTGTGACAATCTACCATCCATACACAACAGGACACACGGACACTAACCTACCATCCATACACAGCAGGACACACGGACACTAACCTACCATCAGTACACAGCAGGACACACGGACAGACACTAACCTACCATCCATACACAGCAGGACACACCGACACTAACCTACCATCAGTACACAGCAGTACACAAACCTACCGTCCATACACAACAGGACACACACGGACACTAACCTACCGTCCACACACAGCAGGACACACGGACACTAACCTACCATCCATACACAGCAGGACACACGGACAGACACTAACCTACCATCCATACACAGCAGGGCACACGGACACTAACCTACCATCCATACACAGCAGGACACACGGACAGACACTAACCTACCATCCATACACAGCAGGACACGCGGACACTAACCTACCGTCCATACATAGCAGGACACATGGACACTAACCTACCATCCATACACAGCAGGACACGCGGACACTAACCTACCGTCCATACATAGCAGGACACATGGACACTAACCTACCATCCATACACAGCAGGACACACGGACAGACACTAACCTAACATCCATACACAGCAGGACACGCGGACACTAACCTACCGTCCATACATAGCAGGACACATGGACACTAACCTACCATCCATACACAGCAGGACACACGGACACTAACCTACCATCCATACACAGCAGGACACACGGACACTAACCTACCATCCATACACAGCAGGACACACGGACACTAACCTACCGTCCATACACAGCAGGACACGCGGACACTAATCTACCGTCCATACATAGCAGGACACAGGGACACTAATCTACCATCCATACACAGCAGGACACACGGACACTAACCCAGTAAGTGCCACCGTGAGCTGGGAAGCAAGGATCTCCTCTCTAAAGGTGATGGGGATAATACGCTTGGCTTTGATCCCTGCCTCTCCATTACAATTAGATCCAGGACAAGTTCCCTAACTCTCTGAGCCCACTCCCTGCCTCTCAGGTTGCTACAGAAGTTAAGTGAGGCCAGGTTGTTAGTGAAGCACCAATTCCACCAAGGAGGGACAATGGCCCCACCTCCCCAGCCCTCATTCTCCTGCCCCGGCACTACAGTGAGGTGGGCTGTCACCTTCCCTCCCTGACATTCACAAGTTATTGTGCAGGTCCAGGGAGAGGTGTGTGAGCAAGCTCAGCTACCTAGAGTGCTTCAGGAACACGGGCTCCTGGGAACCGCTAGTGAAAAACAACAACATGCAGCAGCTGGGTAAGACAACGAAGAAGAGAGAACAAAGAGCAGTTGCTCCTTGGCCATAAGGCAAGTGGCTCTGCACACCACATGCAATTGCCCCAGTGAGCAGCCAAAGGCCCAGGCCATCAGAAAGCGAACTTTAAGCACTAAAGTGCAGCAGAGTAACCTTTCCGGGGAGCAAAGGAGCAAAGGAGAAGGGAGAGGAGGGAAGGAAGAACGTGGTGGCACAAGCCTGTAATCCTTGCACTTATGAAAAGAATCGTGAGTTTGGGGCCAACCTAAGCTACAAAACAAGACCCCACCTCAAAAGAACAAGCAAAACAAGAGCAACATGTGGTGGCCTAGAATCCCGGCACTTAGAAAGCAAAGGCAGGCCAACCTATACAGAGCAAGTTCTAAATTGTTGGCCTAGGTGGTAAGAACTGTGGAAAGAAGAAAGGGAGGGAGGGAGGGGCAATGGAGAGGACCCTATTTCTGTTAATCATGGGTGTGCAGCCATGGGGGAGCTCAAGGAGCTGTCTGCAGCAGAATTACGGCATCAGACTGCCCAGCCCTCTGGAGAGACAGACGGGCCCCACAGCTCACCTTCCTTTGCTGTCTCTCAAACACCAGCACAAGAGTCAGCGTCAGGCTGACAGCGGTCAGGGTGGCAAGCAGCACGCCTGCCCACGGGCTGCCCAGGGCAAACATCTGGCTGGTGGAGTAGATGTTGGCCCACACCACCACATAGAACACCTGTAGAAGACACGGGAAGGCACGGAGCCATCAGGGAGATTCACACCAACCCTGGGACTGAGCTCCTGCTCCCTCTTATTAAGTGAACCATGACAACAGGCTGTAACCTGGCAGAAATGAAGATATTCTAGAGACACTGTGTCTCTCAATCTGATTATCAGGCTGTTGAAACTACAGACCCCAAAGAAATGGGAATTCGCTAGGAATCTCATGTTGGGAAATGGCACCAGAGGCGGACTTGTCTCCCAGAAAGAAATTTTACACAAGTCACCACAGTTTCTCAGACCACCTCCCAGGATGAGACTGAGGCCCGGACAAAGATGAGCCAGCGGTGGGAGGGGCCATATCGTGACGACTGCTCAGAGGTACATGGCCTTGGCTATCTTCTTCAACTTTGCTTTCCCTTCAGGACCTCTGGGGTGTTAGCCGGAGCTCCCTGTCACTTCCCACTTTCCACTGTGGCCACATTTGCGGAGCCTCCTTTTCTGCACCCCACTTTCTGCATAGTTCCTTCAGCTGGCCTACTTGGGATAAAGCGTGTAAGCACTCAGGTTTGAGCCCCTCACTCCTAAACCCTCCTGACGGAAAGAATTCTGTATCTAACCCCTTGTGGGTACAACATGGCCTGGGACGAGCTATGACCTCTCTAAGACTGTGTTTCTCCACCTGTGAACTGGGGATAATCACGCTTTCCTCACAGGACTGTCCCAGGACTAGCAGGGTAACATTTCAAAGTCCAGTATTTGTTAGGGGGTTGTTAAATGCTAGTCCCCTCTCTTCTGTCTCCCCTGAAGTGGGAGGCAGGGTCAGCTGGGCCGTAAACACATACAGAAGCCGGGAAACAGAACAGCTAGACAGCCTGGGTTCACACACTGCTGGCCACGTGTGCACACGTTGCTGGTGTGGATTTGTAGTCACAGGTACATGTTTGCAAGCATATGCACATACAGGTAGGCAGGTACATGCATGCATGTGTGTGTGTGCATGCTAGGAACACAGGAATCACTCCTACCTGTGAACAAAAGGAAACCACGTCCCCGGGAGAAAAGCCTTGGCCAAGGTTAAACACTGACTCGGAAGCCTGGCTCCCAGTCCCTATTCCCATCCCTACTGACCCCTTCTACAGCAAATCGACATCTTTGCCACTGGGCTTTCAAAGGCAGCTGTGTTCCCCAGGGCATACTGCTGCATCCGGTGTGCCTGAGGCCAAGGAGGAAGGCCGTGTGGGCCTAAGTACTACTCACCACAGCAAAGGCCAGCCGCACGGGCCTCGAGTTGTAGATGATGTACCTCCTCACCTGAGGCTCCAAGAGAGCACTCTCGGCCAGGTTCCTGTATTGCTCGGCAGGGACCTACGGTACCCAAGATAAAGAGGTCATCAGTTACAGAACGGCCACTCCTCATTTCCTTCCTGCCAGCAAGTATGCTTCCCAGTTCACAGGACTGCCCATGGGAGGAAGGGAAGGCAAATTCAAGGCACCGTGGAAGGCAGGAAGGGAGGCTTGGAGCATAGATGGGGAATCCTGGGTTCAGTCTAACTGCAGGAGCCTGAGAACGAGGGCATCCTGCAGAGGAGCCACACAGCCTGTGAGTCATGGTACCTTCCAACAAGCATAGGTAGTCTTGGGCAAGACACAGGCCCTGGGCTAACCTCCGGTCATGTCACTCAAGTACTGGGTGATTTGGGTCAAGTGAACCCTTCTCTGAGCCTTGGGCTCCTCCTCTCTAAAATGAGGGAGAGGGGGGTGCACTGTGGGGCAGTGCACAGGGGAACTGGGCAGAGTGAGAGTCACACGATGAGCGCTGGGCACGCAGAGCCAGCCTATCACGGCTGCGGTTTTACACTCTGCACGCGATCCCAAACACGGGGGGCACAGGTCTCCCTGTCCAAAGCAGAGTGTTTGCAGAGCACACCAGCCCTACAGGTGCTAGCCACTTAGGAATTACATCTTGACATGGGACATCTCAAGGACTCAGGAGTAAAGGAGCTTGCCAGTGAATGATGCAAGTCCGATGACCCCAGATCATCCCCCAGAGTCTAGAGAAAGGTAGAAGGAAAGAACAGGCGTCACAGAGTTGTCCTGACTTCCACACACGCACCCTGGCACACACATACATATACCATCCACCTACATACACATGTTAACATCATTATAAATACATTTTTTCCAAGTGGAAAACATGTCATCCAAGAACACAATGCAACAAGATACACACAAACTCTCTTCACTAATCTCAAGATAATAATTTTAGAAAGATTTGGGGTTTGAGGAGATGGCTCAGTAGGTAAATCTGCTGCACAAGCCTAGCACCCGTGTTAAATAGCTGGGTGTTTTGGGAAAATCCCTGGCACCCAGTCTAGATGGATCAGTCGGCTCCACATTCAGCAACAGACCCTGTGTCAATAAACAAGGTAGAGAGCAAACCAGGAAGACACATGACCTCTGACCTGCACATGCGTGTACATATGAACACATACACATGCATACACCACACAAGGAAGGAAGGGAGGGAGCGAGGGCGGGAGGGAGGGAGGGCAGGAGGGCAGGAGGGAGGGAGGGAGGGAGGAAGGAAGGAAGGAAGGCAGGCAAGCAGGTAGAGGGAGAAGAAAACGAGGAGGGGAAGTTCTGCACAAACATGGGATGAAAACATGGAAGGCAAAGGCAGCCCGTCCAGAGCAGGAAAGGCTCAGTGCTATCTGCAAAGTCTTCCTTCGGGGTACTGAGCCACCTGCACCCCTATTGGCTAGTCCAGGAAGACCTCACCTTGAGGGCTCTGGGGAGGAGACCACACCATTGTCCTTCACAGCAACAGCAAGTGCTAAGGTTCACTGAGAGCCTGCTATGTTCCAGAACACGTACGAATGCTCTTGGCGTCACACACGTAATCCTAATGGAAGCCCTACACACCAGGCCTTAACATCACCCTCTCTTACAGACAAAAGTGAGGACCAGAGAGGCTAAGTCTCCTGCCTGAAATCACACAGGCAGCGGGGAGCAAGCCTGGATCCATATCCACACAGCGGGTCTGTGAAGCGCAGGCCTGGATTCACTGTTTGAAGGTATCCTAGCCATTATGTGGTAAGCTCCAGGAACTGTCACAACCGTTCCCTCCCCTACAATGTCTTTCTCCTGCCCAGTATTCTTAATATAACCCTCAACAACCCCGTCAGGGTCTAGCCTTCCATGAAGCTTTCGTGACCACCCACCACAGGGAAGTTCAAAACTTCCTCCTATGCCGTCAGTACCTGGTATGGTCCTCTACTGTGGCATCCATGCCTGGCTGACCTTGTCTAGCTGACCTTGCTTACTGGTCCGTGTCTAGCTCCTGCTGGGCAGTGTGGTCACTAGCACTGGGTCCTGGTCACCTGTGCACAGCTTAGCCAGCTCAAGGCCTGGACAGAACCCCAACACACACATTCGGAGTGAACACGCTGGCAAGGAAGGATACTTCTAATATACTTTCCTATGTGCCTGCCCACGGCCAGCTCAGGTAAACGTTAAGGAAATGTGTGTGAAGAGACTGGTGGGTGGACACATAGCCAGGTGGACAGAAAGAACAGACTCAACCAGCCAGCACTCACCTGAATGCCCCAGGCCTGGAGCTGCTCTTCTACAGCTCCCAGGTCAAAGGAGACGGGTGCACAGGTATTGTCGATCCGGAGGACTGTAAGGACCTGGCCATTGTGCAGCTCTGCAAGCAGAACAGAGGATCATGGACCAAACAAGTGAACCTCTGGAGGAGGTCAGAACTGAAGGCATCACACCTCAGGAGGGGAGTACCTTCTCGTGATGAGGAACGTGGTAGCCGTCCCGCAAGCCTAAGGCGGTAGCTTGACTAGGAAGTCCCCGGGAGGCAAAAGTAAGACCCACGCTGGTAAACTATATAATTTATAACTTCCCAAAGCAGAAAGACATCAAGCAAAGAATGGGTGGTATTGAGTGCCCTGTCACAAGGCAAGAAACAGAGGCTGAAAAACAGTAGAGGCCTGATGTTTGGGAAACCCTGAACAGGAAGTTCAATTGAAGAATTTAAATCCCAGCAATGAGCCAAATATCAGATCTAAATAGATACTATGAAACATCAGCCCCAGATGGCCACACCTGCATCCCCAGACTGCTGCCAGGGCAAAGAGGAATGAACACTGCAGATGGAATGCAGGGCACAGATCAGCTGGCCATAAGCAGGAACCGCAGCTTGCAGTACCCAGGGGGCTGATGGAATCACAATGGTCCTCAAAAGGAGGCAGGTCACAGAGAGCTATACCATTGCTAGCTTTGACCACAGGAGGAGGAGTCACAAGCTAAGCACTGTGGGTAGTCTGTACCACTGGGAAGAGGAAGGGAAAGGACACAGAGCCTTGTCCCGCCGATGCCTTGTCTGCACACATAAGGATATATGCGTGTGTAATTCTTCAGATTGAGCCCTTCCTTTACGCCATGCATCCATGCTGGTCTGTTCATCGGAAGAGTGCCTGAGCTGGTTTAGTGCCTGCATACATGTCTGACACGTGAGTGAGTGAGGAGGGAGGGAGGGAGGGAGGGAGGGAGGGAGGGAGGGAGGGAGGGAGTATGATAGGACTCTGATCCTCAGCACTGACAGGCTTCTCACGGCCTGGGGCAGGAAGGAAGAACACTTACTCTTAAAGATTCCATCACAGAATTCTAAACCCTAGGTCCTCTCCATAAGAACTCTCGATTTTGCCCTCCCCCTTACTTTTTGAAAAGAGTGCGGTACATGGATAAAATACAGGCCAGCCCTTGAGGGATCACACTGTGACCCCGTCTATTACTCACAAGGTGAATGTACAGGAGAAACTATTTCCTTACCTACCAATGGTCACAGTTACCATGGAAGACTGTCAGCCATTCAGAGGACAGCCTGGATGTCACCTCAAGTGTGTGAATCACTGGCCCCAGTGAGCTCATAACTTAGAAACAAGCTGTTCAGAACTCAGAAGTCCTGATAGACAACACTAATATATCTTTTATGCCCCACCCCCACCTTGATAAAAATATACATTAAACTGAAGACTGCTCAAATGGAAAGGCATAGACAGAAAAGAAACAAGAGCGGCTAACTAGACCCCTGCTGGAGAACTGGAGCCCACACTATGTGCTTGCTCCAAGAGTTCTAAGAAGTGGATGCTGTTCACAGGGAAAGAGAAGCCAAGCCCCTGGAAAGCAGTCTACCCAGCTGACCTGGGGGGACGGAGATGAAACAAACAAAAGGAAGAGGTAGTGCCCAAACACAGCCACCACCCGTGATGTCTCCCAAAGGAAGAGGCAGTGCCCAAACAGAGCCACCGTCCCGTGACATCTCCCATTGGTGCCCTCGATTCCACACTGGATGAGCCTCCCCCAGGATAGTCTGGAACCTTCAGACAGCTACACCCTGGGCTACAAGCATTTGCCCAAACCCTACAAAGACATTTCACCGAGTCTCTTATTTACCTTTCTATTAGGAGTTCCTGGATTCTTGGCAACATGAGTCCTGCACTTAGAAATGCTTGTTTCTAGACCTAAGCAAAGCTGAGAAAGAGGAGAGAGAGAGAGAGAGAGAGAGAGAGAGAGAGAGAGAGAATATGCACAAAGCAGCAAGGGAGAGCTTACTAAAATTCAGCACAGGGATGCCTTTCAAGTCTTGAAGAAAAAAAATACTTCATCCAGTCCCTTTCTACTGCAGCATGGATAGATGTTTAAATTGCTTTATAACAATTAATAACACAGTCATACAGCTTTTTTGAACAGAGTTTCAGGCCCACTATTAAGCCTACATTTCTATAGAACACCCAGTTTATAGTGCTGTTTTTCCTTGCTACACCCAGCTACCATCCATCCCTTCATTGAGCACAATACTGACTCCATGTCTCCTATGGAGCAGGCCTCCTCTGCTGGCTCTACAGACACGGGAAGGGTGAGACAGTACCCAGCCCTACCCTCCCTGAATTTCCATTATGGTAGGGAGGCTGAACACTCAATATTTATCACATAGATAACTGGTATACTAAATAAACTGTGCTGGAAGAATACATCAGAAAATCCCAACTAAGGCTAAGCCATCAAATAATTTGCCATGGGAAGGAAGGATGATTGAGGCCCAAAGGATGAATGGTAACCAAGTACCAAAAAAGCATGGGTAGAAAGAACATCATGTACAGAGGTCCTGAGACTGAATGCCCTGGCAAAGAACAGCGAACAGGGCAGCAGGCAGAGCTGTGGCTGGCCTGGGGAATGATGGCTCTTCACAACATGTCCAGTGGGAGGCCTGGGTCAAAATGTGCCAGCAGGCCGCACATCTAAAAAAAGTAGTCTAGTGGGAAGGAAAGGTGGTGACAAGGGGTGGTGGCAGAGAGAACAGGGTAGGAATGACAGAAAGTGGCCTGGAGCTGAATCCCAAAAACACCCAGTTATCCAGAGACCCCAGTTATAGGTGTGAGTTCAGCACAGAATGGGACACAGTGAGAAGGGGATCATGGGGTAGGGGTCATGACCTTACCTTGACCCCAGCCAAGAGGGCTCCTTTGAGGCAGGGTGCTGCAGCCCAGGATAGAGGTGGGCAGGGGACCAGCTGCCCCACCAGGGTCTGTAGGAGGCTCACAGGCCATGGCAAAGAGGCAGCTGCTCCCGCTTCTACTTCCTGTTTCTGGGTGTACAGTTCATGCTGGGGCAGTGTCTCATCTCCACTCGCCTAAGAAAAACAGCACAAGAAAGAAGGTGAGCTAGGCTCCCTGGCCTTCCCTGGGGCCAGAGGTGCTAAAGGCCAGGGACGGCCATCAGGAGTCTAAATGCTGACTTTTCTGTCCTACTGAGGAAATTCTTTCTCAGCATGAGAAGAGGAACTAAAACCTTCCCCAGGCCTCAGCTGAGAATTCCCCTTCCAGCTGTGGGTCTTCTCCATCTCAGCCACACCAGGCCCCAGTCATGTCTTCCTGAGATGCCCAGGTAAGCAAGACTGAGGCAGACATCACCTTCATGGTGGGGAGGCTGTTTCTGTACAGCTTCCTACAAGGCACTGCAAACCAGAGGAACAAACAGGAAACACAGATTACAGGCAGAGTCCTGACAAGCGCGAAGAGGAGAACTAACCAGACAGTTAGGCTACACTCCAGTTCCTTAAAGGGGCGCGGTCCATGTTCAGGGTTCACTGTGGTCTCGCCACCTCCGATTTCTATTTGTATAAACTTGGATGTGTGTGACTTAATCCCAGAGCTTCAAATAGGCTTCTCCAGATCTAGCGGCCCTCCCCCAACAGGCCCACCCAAGGAATCAGTGGGCATTACACAGGAAGGCCATGGGGGACAGAGATCACACTCCATGAATATGAACTCTTTAACCCTTCAATGCCAGCACTCTTGAGGCAGAAGCAGACAGATTTATGTGAGTTCACCAGCCTGATCTACATAATCCCAACACTGAAGGGTACATGCGGGGAAAGGCAATAGGATGGACAAGCTTAGGGCAAGCCTGGGCTACATACACAGTCAGCTTCAGACAGGGGTAGGCTACCGCAAAGCCCTGCCCCATCAGAAAGAAGGTCAGCAGTCCTGCTGTGACTGTTTACACACAGCTGACTGAGGCAAGGGCTGGGTCGCTGGGGCTTCCAGGTGGCCAAGCCAACACACACACATTGGTGGCTAAACTTGTATCTGAGAAAAGCCTGTGAGGAGAGTAAGCTCTGGCTTTGCAGCTCCCTCCGAAGGATAATGAAGACACGGCCAATGCCTTCAGTATCAGCTGGCCCACAGGCACAGCAGGCATCAGTCAAAGCAGGGATGCTCCTGGGTCACCAATCTGCTGCAACCTGTGCCGTGTGTCCCCAGGAAAATCATGTTCCACTCAAATACCCAGGAGTGGCACACTGATCCTGTGAGTCTCTGGTGGACGGTCCTTTGCAACATTCACTTGCTACCAAGTAAGGTGACACTGGAGGCCGCATAAAACTTCCAGATGACCAAACTGGCCCCAAGGCCCACCCACTGACCTCTACTGGGAGAAACTGATCCTTCAGTCCCCTTCACTGCTCATCTTCATTCTTCAGCAGGAGCAGCTGCATAGGTGAGGGATGCCCTGCGAAATGAAAATGTGGGGTCAAAGGACCCAGGGTCAGGGAGGCGACTCAGTAGCTGGTAGCACTTGCCTCACAAACCCGACGACCTGAGTTCAACCCGGGTGCCCACATAAAAGCCAGATGATGTGGCAGGCATGTCTACAACCGCAGTGTTCCTATGGTGATGGGGGGCAGAGGGAAGAGATGAAGGCAGGAGGCTCTTGGACCAGGCCACAAGAAGAGAGAGCCTGGGGCTGGACAAATGGCCCAGAGTTAAGAGCACTTGATATCCTTACAGAGGACCAGGGTTCAGTTCCCAGAACCCACACAGTGGCTCACAACCATCCATGACTCCAGCTCCAGGGAACCCACAAGGGTAATAGACACACACACAGTATAGACATACATACAGGAAAACACATAAGGTAATAAATCTATAATTTATTATAAACATTAAATATATGTTTTTATTCATTTAGAAATATTATAAACATAAATCTATTATAATAATATATTATTATAATAAATAAAACTAAAAGGAGAAATACAGACAGACCCTGCCTCAAAAAGGCAGAAGGCAACAACCTACTCTCAAAAGTCATGCCCTGACCTCTGCAAACTGAAGAGATGAAGATGGCAGCAGCGGACTAGAGAGATGGCTCAGTGGTTAGGAGCACTAACTCCTCTTCCAGAGGACCCAGGTTCAATTCCCAGCACCCACATGACAGCTAACAACTGTAACTGTTCCAGGGGATCTGACACCTTCACACCAATGCACATAAAATAAAGTTAAATAAATTATATATATATATATATATATATATATATATATATATATATATATATATGGTGGCAGTGTAATAAAACCAAACTGTAGGGAAAGACAGCTCCATACGAGGGGGCCCAAATACCTGAAGCCAGCCCAACATTAAGCTCTAGAATGTGGTTCTCAACCTGTGGGTCGTGACAACCTGTGGGTCGTGACGAACTGTACTAAAGGGTTGTAGCTTTAGGAAGGGTGAGTCTAGATGGTTCCTTGGGAGCTTCTCTCCCAATGAAAAACAAAGGATGAATGTTACCAAGCTGGGAGCCTAAGGCCAAACAGTAACAAAACTTTAGGAAAATACATGAACGCTTTGGAGCCAAAGTCTGGCCGGATCGATGCAGTCACCTTCTGCACCCGCCCATCCCCCAGTCTGAACTCTGTTGTGAGCATCCCTGCAATGGGCAGGGAGGCCTGCCTCATTTGGCTGCTTCAGGAAGAACATGCTGTTCAGTGCTCTGTCCCCAGGGTCCTTCCTTTCCTCAACATGGCTTTCCTGTTTCACAGCCAACACACACACCTCTCCACAACCGAGTGGCACAGGATCCCCTGCGTCTCCAGGGTCAGGCCACAGGACCATGCCCTCACGCCTCTGGGCCTGCTCTGCTTTCCTTCAACTTATCCACAGACACCTTTGAGAAGACCCAAAGAAACCATGTTTCTCAGCATGATCTAGAAATAAATTCCAGGCACCCTGCAATGCTCTTCAAGGAAGACGGAGTCTCGTCTTTGCTCACCTGGCCTGCAGCAGCATTCTCACACACTAGGTACTTACCCGCCAACCTCACCTTGCCTGTTTTCTTTCTTATACCCGCAAGAGGTAAAAAAAGCCACAAAAACAGCCACAAGGTTGCGCCCAGAGTCGACACCCCCCTGCTTCCTCTGATCAACTACTGGACCACAAGGCAGACACAACCTTGTCATCTATCGTCCAGACCACACTTCAGCCTCACACCACTGGAGTGCTGAAAAGGCTGGGAGGAGCTGACACCGGCTGGAGTTGAAGCCTGGGACTGCACAGAAGGATCCACTGGTTGCAAAATCCCACAATGAAGCATTGTTTTAGGGGCAGAAATCACAGCACCCACAGCACCCCTCGGCTGCCCACAGAGACCCAATCAGCAGACTCCAGTCATAGGCCTGTCACACGCCCACGGCTGCGTGGGCCGGCTGGAAGCAACCTGGCCAGCCCAACTACTTCCCACCTTGGTGGCCTTGAGAAACGCACTGGACTTCTCTCTGCCGCCATTTCTGGAGCAGGGACCAGGAAAGTAATTTAGGGTTACGCTGCGGTTCCCGATTCACAAAATCTACCTTGGAGAAGAGCGCTTACTGAGCGAAGGCAGCTGACATCAACCACAAGCCTTCCTTGAGAACCTTCTCGGGCCAGCCCCCCGACTGTAAAACCAGGAATGCAACATGAAGAATCTGTTCAGTTCTCCATCCACTGGGAAAGGCACGCACCAAGAGAACTGCCAGAAAGGTGAAGAGGCAATCAGGCAGCAAAGGGGCTGCCTAGATGTTCCTAGGCTTCACCAAAGTGGAAACTGAAAGAAGCAGTGCCAGATTTGAATGTGTTCAGACCCAGAGGTCAGGATGGCTCCCTCTGTAGATCCTCATCCAGCCCAGAGCCTACAGAGCCACGAGGATGAAGGCAGACCCCCAAGGGCAGATGCTGACCATTTATCATCCTCTCAGCCCTGCTCCAGGCTTCAGAACACAAGTCAGGGAGCCCGATGCAAGGGTAAGCGGAGCACAGAACGAGTAAGCACTGAGACTCCTGCCAGTCCCTTAGGGAATCCACATTTCAACCAGATTTTCCAGGCTGTGCAGACTCAAGCTCCCAGGGGTCCCATCGCTGCACAGTGCCTGCCAGCCTCACCGACAACTAAGCGCCTGCCCAGGCTGCCCTGAAAGGAAAGAGAAAGCGTCTTTCCTTCTTCAAACTCAGCTTCACTACACTGCAAATCCAACAGATCAGAGGGGCAACAGTCCCAAAAGTTTAGAAAAGGCCTGGCTAGACAAGGAATCCAAACTACCCATTTCAATGATGTGGACATTAAGCCCCGGAAGAGAAAGCTGACTATCCAAGGTCAGGGAGCAAAAACCCAGAGGGAGCCAGAACAGAAAGCCGGCTTAGCCCGGCCCGGCGCCTCCCGTCGTACCTGGCCTTGGCCTTGGGCAGTTGGCTCCCTGGTCTGCCCTCTGGCATTGGGGCTCCCTCACCCCAGAAATCACTCGCCCTACCCCGCAGCTCCCACGCCTGACGCGTGGGGCGGGAACAAGTCACCCGAGCCTTAGCGGCGGGACGCGCACGCAAGCGCCGCGGCCCCAACCCCCGGAGCGCGGGCGTACGGGCGCGCGCACGGTCCGCGCACACTCACCGCAGCCCGGGGACGCGCAGGGTCGGAGGCCCCTTCTGCGCCACGGCGCCCCTGTGCCGGCCCCCCAGCGTCCGCCTCTCGCGCCTCCCGCGCCCCGCCCGAGCGGTCTCCTCCGCCAAGCCGCCCTGCGGCCGCGTCTCCCGGGCCCAGCCGCGAGCGTTTCATCAGCCGCGCTTCCCTAGGGCACCGGAAGGGGCCCCGCGCCCGCCACGTGCTTGGGATCTGGGCTCGTCCCCGCAGGGAAGGAGCGGCGGGGCGGGCGAGGAGGCCGATCCCGAGTGACCTAGAGTCACAGGATCCGGTGCATGAGGCACACTCGGGACCAGAAGTTTCTTCTGGGCTTGTTGTTATTGAAAAACGGTATGTAGTACTGAGAGCGTCAGCGTGAGGAGACGGCCTAACGGCTGGTTCAAAGTCTCCATTTATCCATTCGATAAATTAAACTTTGTCTGCGTTTTCTTTTAAAAATGTTTAGTTCGAGACCAGCCTGGTCTACAGAGCTAGTTCCAGGGTAGGCTCCAAAGCCACAGAGAAACCCTGTCTCGAAAAAGCAAAAAAAAAAAAAAAAAAAGTTTAGTTATGACTGTGCCATGAAATTGTGTTATTTTTAACGAAATAATGTGTAAGCTGTTCAAACTCACACTTGCTCATCCTACTCTTGGAGATTTATGAGGCTCTGTGATGACCTTTCCAAGTGAATCCCTGGTCTTGGGTTCACCTTGGTTTGTTGTTCTGACAATAGGGGTGACACCAGGCTAACTGCACGTACTTTTTCTTTGCAGTACGTGCTTATATAAAAGGAACAGATTCTATTCTATTGGCTACCTTACCTCGTCTTTCAACAAAGAGCCTGAATACTTAGCCCCTGCTACAATGGCCTCATTTCTTCAGGGGACCATAAGCTCTGTAATTTGTTAAAAATGGGCCTCTCCTTGCCTTGTTCCTCCCCTACGATGGATGCATATGTGGTTCCTACCCTTACTTGCAAGAAGGGCTAGGACACAAACACCACTGCCCTTTTTCTCCATACGCGTGATCTTGCACAGGCACACAATCACATTTTGTGTTCAATCTCTTGAGGACTTTGGGACCACAGGACTTACATGGCTGCATACCCAAAGGAAGGGTGTTTGGAGCAGCAAGAACGAATTGAAAATCCAAGTAACATCCCATGTGGGTGTCCAAGGAGACAGATGAGTCAGATCAGGGTGTCAGGCTATTAAAAATAAATTTCATTGTGAGCAAATCAATACTGAGTACCTGCTCAGTGCCAGCACTGTAGAGAATAGTTCGTAGAAGGGTCCCATGTAGTATGATCAATTTGCTAGTAGTAATTTAGAGGCCTGGAAAAAAAGAGACTCAAGGGGTACTGAGACTTCTAAACAAAATGCTGACAAGCTACTGAAAGGGAACATGCAGCAAGCTGTGGTCTAGCCCAGGTCTCTAACCCTGCCTCTGGAGCAAGGCCTACTACCTCCATGATGAGACAGCCTGTCTGCCCTTTCCACCACGCTTTCTTGCCCATGTTCTAGCACAAAGTTTTCTGTTGGCACATCCGCCTCCCACAGGCTCGGAGATGGGACTCGGAAGCTGCCGACAAGGTTAGGGGAAGTAGCAGCCTGAGCTTTGGCTGCCCTGTTCTCTCATTCAGTGATACCTGCTGATGTGAAAGATATCAAGAACCAAACAGTGGATGCTTACAGTGTTCTGACAGCATCCCTGAACCTTGGGCATGGTGGAAAGGACCATCAACTCCAGGGAAGCATACTGCAGAGCTGACTTTAGTACCGACAGCTTGGTGGAGCCTCGGGGACCTTAGTGGTGACTTCAGCTTCACCACCTGCAGCCTACCCTGGATGAATCATTGCCCTCTCCCCAGACCCCGAGCTCCATAAATAGAGCTGTTCTCAGTTCCTCCTGTGCCCAATTCTTTCACTTCCAGGTCTCAGTGGTTGCCTCAGGTCTGGAAGTGGTTCTCGTTATCTGGAAGACTCCTGCCAAACCCATGCTTCTCACCGGACTGGCCCATTCTCGGGTCTTCCCTCTTCATCAGGAAGATTAGTGCCAAACCCATCTTTACCCGACGGGCTCATTCTTGGTCTTGATTGGCAGGGTCCTTGTTCTGAAAGCCCTATCCTATCGTAGGCCGAGGGTTATCCCCTTCTTGATGGCTCTTGTTTAACCTACAATTACACCAAACACCACCCAGTATGGCCACTGCCTCTTTCTTTCCACCAAAGCAAACCTTCAAGTCCTATTCCTGCTGGTGCTCATAGCTGCCCAGGGCCCAGCCCACAGCCTTTTGTTAAGTACATCTGAAGAAGTGATTGGACAGGTAAGTCAATCAAACACAAACCCCAGCCAAAGACATCCTTACTCAGCAGCTACTCCATACTGCTGTTTGCAAGGGTCCAGCAGCCAATGAATTTTACATGAAGTAAAACAAGGAACTTCTCCCAGAATGGCAGAAGCTGGAATGTAGCAGCAGATGGGACTGGAGGGAGTGGCAGAACCACCGGGAGAGCACTTGAAAAGCAAAAGGTAAAACACTACATCTTGGTTTTTGGACTTGGCCTGCTGAAGACATCCATTGAGTTTCTAGCTGATGTTGGAAATGCTGCTTTAGACATTGCCATGGGGTGGTCACACAGCAGCTCAGGCTGGAAGTCCAAGAGTCACAGATTCAAATGCAGCATTGCCACTAATAAAGTTTCTAATTAACCTCTCTGAGCCTCTCTCCTCATTTACATAATAGAAGATAACTCTGCAGGAGCATTTATATCAGTACCCTGAATTACTATTAATCCTGATATACATGTACTAGTCGAACATTTACAAAAGTGTTTCTTATAGAAGATGCCACTGCCAGAGGCTCCATGATACCTCTTCCAACTCATGGAGGTGGCTTGACCTAATGAACTCCACTGCGAAATGACATGGGGTGGCAGCAGGCAGAGCACAGAACCACACAGCTGCTGTCCTTGTCAAGTGTGCTGAGAAACTGGGTCAAAACCTGAAGAAAAACTGCTGAGTTCCTGTCAGGAAAGACAACAATCCCCCCCTCCCCCCAGGCACAAGAGCTGCAGAATGCCAAGAGCCAGCGGCAGGTACTAGGGACAAATGGAGTGGAGCCACAGAATTCCTAGATGGCTGAGCAGAGGGTTCAACTAGTATGTGTGACTCTTTTCTTCCTTAAAAACCACAGAAGATGACAAGAAGCCCCTTTGTGGGCTCTGTGTAATCAGCCCAGCTTCTCTTCTGAAGTGATCTGCAGGTGTTGCAGACTGGTCAGAAGGCCGCCACTCTTCTCTTCTTCCAAGTAGAAAGAGGCGGAGGTGGGTGGGTTGCCCCCAGCAGTAAGCGTGTCATTACGTTCACACTTGATGCAGGAGCTAGTCAGCACCACTTGACATTATGAACCAGAGAAACCGTATATTCTCCCAAAGTCACCAGCCAAATCTTCCCATGAAGACTGTGCCCGGCTGCCTATCTGCACAGGGAGAAGACCAGAGCAAAGCTAGAGCTGCTTGGTGGTACACAAGCTTTGGTAGGAACTCAGGAGCCACTGAAGTGATGGGAGATAAATTGACGTGGAACAAATATCTTGGCCTCTGCCACATTGCTCCTAAGGGGGTGGGGGAATGAGAGGCATGCAACACTCATCAGAGCGCCAACCTTTGGAAGGAGAGCTTCAGTTGACTTCTGGTACCATTAATCATCTTGAGTGGAAACAGGCTGAACGTGCTCAGAAATGCATTGCCTCCCTGGCCTAGGGGCAGGTGAGTAGAGCTGCAGTGGAGCTGCTCTGACCTGGCTCTGTCCCTTCCTTGTTCTGCTACCTCTGACATCCTGCAAGCCTCTGGGCCTGGCTTTTCTCAGGCATGGAGGGCCACACCTCTAACCTGCAGGATCTAAAGGCCTCAGAACAGAATGAGTTGCTTGCAGTGATTAGGATATATGAGTGTAAATTACTTCTTCTCTCTTGAGTTTCCACCACTCCAAGTGAGTGGCCATTCAGGAAACTGTCAAGATTACCCACAAGGTTACACAACGTGACTTTAAGCTATTTTATGCCTTCTATAAGAGACTGTGAGGAAGGCTAAGCTATGGAATCAAACAGAATGTTCTCATGTTTATAACAAGTAATTGGGACATCCTTTCTAGGAAACTTGTGTAACCACTGATGAACAACATGGGTGGGGTGGGGATGGGGGTTGGAGAGGATGAACACAGAAAAGATACCAGAACAAGATACACAGAAAGCTCAGCAGAGACTAACGAGCTAAGGCAAAGATGCTTAAAGGCACTGAAAATCTTGGCTCTACCACATAAACCCTTGCCTGGTTCCTTAATGCCCATACCTAAAATCTGGTAAAAGTTGCCAAGCAGTCAATTGGTTAAGGACTAGAGAGACAGCCCAGCGGTTGAGAGAACTGGGGCTGGAGACAGCCCAGTGGTTAAGAGAACTGGGGCTGGAGACAGTCCAGCGGTTCAGAACACTGGGGCTGGAGACAGACAGCCCAGCGGTTCAGAACACTGGGGCTGGAGACAGACAGCCCAGAAGTTCAGAACACTGCGGCTGGAGACAGACAGCCCAGAAGTTCAGAGCACTGGGGCTGGAGACAGACAGCCCAGCGGTTCAGAGCACTGGCTGCTGCTCTTCCAGAGGACCAAGGCTTCATTCCCGGCACCTAAATGGCAGCTTAAAACTGCCGACAGCTCCAGTCCAGAGACTGACTCCCTCTTCTAGGCTTTGTGGGTACCCAGCACCAAATGTGGTGAACATATTTTTTAAATACTTTTTTAAAAACTTTAAAGTATTGGTTAATATATAAGCAAACATTCTTAATGCATAGGCTAACATGGAGAAACCAGTCATCATCGACTGATGTGGGATTCCTTCCCCTCAGTATGCTGTGAACACCACTGGTTAATAAAGAAGCTGCTTTGGGCCTATGGCAGGGCAGAATATAACCAGGCTGGTAGATAGAGAGTGGAGTCACGGAGATGCCATGTACCTGTCGAAGGAGACAACCGCCAGCTGCAAGCCAGAACCTTACCAGTAAATCACAAACCTCACGGTTAAATATAAAATAACAAAAATGTGTTCATTCAAGATATAAGAGCTAGCTAGACATAAGCCAGAGTCATTGGAAAAACAGTATTGTAGTTAATACAGTTTGTGTGTGATATTTCAGGTCTGGGCAGTTGGGAAACAAACAAGCAGTCTCTGTCTACAATCAACTGTACCAGACACATCTCACTGTCCATAGCTCCCTCATTCCTCAGTCCCCTGCAGATATGCTGGGTCGCTGAGAAACAGGTACAGGTGTTATCTAAGGCCTGAAGCTAAGAACTGGCTCTTGAGTCCCTCTCTCTTCTACCTCTGCAATGGTGCAGGCTGCGCTGAGGTGAAGGCACACAGTAGAACAGCCTCAACACCCACTCACCACATGTCCAACAGCTGCCCCCAAGAAACTCAGCTTGTATCAAACTTTTAAGAAGTAGGTCTCTGTTGTATTTCAGAAACAGGAAACATTTGCTGAGCACCTAGAATGGTCCAGGCACCATATGTAGTGCTTTGATGTATTTTTAATAATTCTTTTCTTGTTACCGTAGAACAACAGTTCTGAGCTGGGGATAATTCTGGCACCCAGGAGTTATGGCAATGTCCAGACACATTTTTGCTTATCACTATTGAGGGAGAATTAGATCATCTAGTGCGTGGAGACCAGGACATGGCTAAACACCCCTCTAATATAAAATAGTTACACCAACCCAAGGAAAACTCCTCCCGTTGAAGCCAAATCAGGTGTCTCTTCAAAAGTCAGTGTTTCTTTTTCCAGATTTACATACACATTCTGTGTCTATACATACACACCCATATTTCATTATTTTTATGCTCAAATGGGAACAAATCCCACACAACGCTGTGTGAATCTCAGGTTCACTCTGCACCAGAGCCCACACACCAACAGGTCTGTAGGGCTGAGAGCCTTTCAGGTGTTCGTTCCTACAGTGCACTGCAGCACAAGCCCTTTCCCTTTTACATTCCTAAAGCTGGAGCTTTCGAGCAAGCTCACTTCTGGCCCCACCCTTGATTCAACCTGCCTGGGAGAAACCAAGCACCTCCAAATGCCTGGGAACATCAATCCGGATTGAGGACTAGAGGAAATCCCACTTCCTTGACATCAAAACCTCTAGAAACCTCAGGAATACCACTACGCCCAAAATACCATCTGTCACCTTGCTCTACTCCTTTCCTCACGAGCACTGAAACATCCCAAACCATGCTCCATTAACCGTATCATCTCTCTCCACAGCCGTTCTTCAAAGCACTTAGGTGGCTCCCCGCCCCCTGAAATCACCAAACCCTCGCCTGCTCATGTTCACCTGTGCCTCTTGCCTGACCACTGATTCCACTCCTCTTTTGAAATGTTACATTCTGTTGGATTCTGTGCCATCAACCCTGAGCTGCTTGGCTTGTAGTGCAATTCTAGTAATACAGGATAAACATACTGGGCAGCAAGGTTAAGAGTGTAAAGGCTGAGTTTAGAGTAATCAGCACTGGGAAGGCAGAGTCAAGAGTCTACATAACAAGTTCTAGGCCATCCAAGGGTGCACAGTGAGATGCTATAAGAGAAAAAAAAAAATACCAAGGCTGAGAATGTAGCTCAGTGTTACGAGTACTTATCCAGTGTTCCCCAGTACCACAGCACACAGGTCTAAACCAGTGAGGACCAATGTTGTTGATGTTCCTCCAGTATCAGAGAAGCAAAGGTGGCAGCAGGTAGAAGTTAGAAACCTTCACACTTAGCAGATGGAGACTGAAGTCTTAAAATTAAACAATTAAAAAGGAGAGAAATCATGACTGCACAGATAGAATAAAAGTCCAAACAAGCAATAAGATGACGAAGAGATGGGATGGAGAAAACAGTGTGGGTGGTCAAGTTCGGAAATGGTAATGGTCTCACTAAAGAAATGCAGAAGACCAAGAACCAACCCTTGGGCAAAGACAGAGAAGCAAATCATGCCCTGTGAAGCTGCAAGATAAGAAAGTGGTGCAAGCAGGAGAGACTGACACCTCAATCAAGCAGCCCACTCTCTCCATCTGCACAGCTGAGCCAGACAACAGAACAGCACCAAGAGCTCCAGGGCAGTGGCAAGCCTCAGGAAAACTGAGGCAGTAAACCCGGGGCCTTCAACTAGTTAAAACACACACACACCAGAATAGTGACCAGAAGTGGCCTATGAGCAAACCCAGAGGCACAGAAAACTATGTGCTTACTAGCTCAGACTGCTGCATGAAGAGGAAGCCCCTGACGTCTTTTGACTGTTTTACCCACCACAAATTACTCTACAACCAAGGAAAGACTGTTAGCCTCAAGAGGGCCACCAGGCGAGTCAAGTTAGCCACACTCACTCTGCTCACCAGAAAGGCACGCTCATTTGACAAAGGCTGGCTAACACAAGGCCCTCTAGAGCAGCGGCTCTCACCCTTCCTGATGCTGCGGCCCTTTAATACAGTTCCTTGTGTTGTGGTGACCCCAACCATGAAATTATTTTCATTGCTACTTCGTAACTATAATCATGCTACTGTTACAAATCTTAATGTAGGTATCTGATATGCAGGATATCTGACACGCAACACTGTGAAAGGGCCATGACACCCAAAGGTGGTTCTCAACCACTGCTCTAGACAAAAGGCAAACTACAAGCTCTTCAGTTGCTTGCTGCTTTTTAAAACAGAGGATCAAAGCACAAGCAATTTCCTTCTGAATAAAATGAACATGAGTATTTACTAGTAAGGTATACAAATCCAACACATGTTGAGACTAAATGAAATTCTATTCAACATCCAGTCAAGATGCACTTTGCATTATCAAAAAGAGGAGCCAGAGGGATGAAAGGCAAGACAGTTTTACTTTTAAATGATTACAAGCAAACCAAGTAACACATACAACATTCTTGAGTCCTAGCATCTAGTAATTTGGGTTAAGCTACACTAACAGCAACCTGAAGAAGCTATTCATTGTCCTAAATCAGCCAGAATGGACTGCTGTAAGGCTGGCTGCCGCTTCCCAGGAGTTACAAATGCTATTTACTACTTTTTCATAGAGAACGCCCCTGACCTTTAAGAAAGTAGAAGGGAACAATTTACTCCCTTTCTTTCTTCAAAGAATTGATTTTTTTCTACTAGACTAATAAAAGATAAATCAACAGTTATACCTGCTGCTTGCACTAACACACAGGAAACGTATATTCCTTAAAGACACACATAAAAAGATGAAACTTCAGCTACTTACTAAGTGGTACAAAAAGCTAGATTTGATACTCTCAAAAAGTGAAGGGAGCTACAACAGCATAGAGAAATAATTTAATGCCTTCCAGAACAGAACTCAGCTCTAAGGAGATGTTCCTGTTCTGTGAGGGCATCTCCCATGCCAACCACAGAGCAGGAGTCTCCACCGCTTATCCGTTTATGCGGTAATTTTCATGGATTTCTGGCCGGATGTCACACACAAAGGCCAAGAGGTTATCAAGGACTTCATCCCGGTTTTGCTGGAAGTACTTCTGGAGGACGGTCATCTTCTCCTGGGTCTCCTTCTCCACCTCACTGCTACAACTGCCGTGGGACCCCAGTGCCTGCAGTGGAGGAGATGGGATACAAGGGGACATCAGGAAGATTCTGTGCTTGAGCCACTTAACAAGCAACCTCCTGGCTTATGGGAAAGCCCCAGCTCCTTAACAAGAAGGCAATATTTCAATGGCAGGAAAAACAACCCATGAGCAAAGCTAGGTGACAAACCAGGCCCTCCAGCAGAGCTCACTGCTACCCACACCAGTGTTCCAAGGTCTAGTACACAGCTTCAGTAAAGACTGGAACCAACCTAAAGAGTCGACAACTACGGCACCACCCACAGTGTGCACTTGTGAGCTGAGAGCACAAGAAGAAAGCCAGAGCACACACAGAGGAAGGGATTCACACAGTTCAGTGCACACACGAACCTCGACAACTGAAACTGATTACACTAGAAATGCCCAGTGTTTTATAACCTCACTGACAGTATCCCACAAGCAAGTGTGGTGCATGTGGACACAAGATGGCTGCTCTGACAGAGAATTTAGCGTGCGGTGTAACAATTTATAGTACCAATCTGCCAAGAAGAACAGTGCACACTTAATGCTCTTTGTGACTGCCCAGTGCAAAGAAAATGGAAGCCTGTGTTACTTAATGTTAAGAAGTAGGTACAGGTGCTCATGATAACTGGACCTTGGCCTGGGTAAGTATAGGCCTAAAACCATTGGAGAGCACCACGCAGGGCTTGAGAATGAAGCACAGAAATGAAGACAGGAATGAGAAGAGCTCAGAGCAGTCAACCCACACCTGGAAGAGGGTAAACTCAATCTTTCACCTGGGTTTTTAACTAAGTCAATGAACTGCTAACCACTGTTAACTGCATGGAACATCACCAGCTCTATTCCCCTCCCCCTTCTACAAATTCATCTGCATTCTTTGTTCCCCCCAAGATCTCTCAGTGCATCATCTTATGCATCACTGTTGCCTACCACAGTGATAAACTCTGCTCTTTACTGAGGTGCAGGTTTCATTTTGTTCACATTTAGATGTCACAGCAGTCTTCAGAGCTGTAGGTTTGTAGGACTTAATGTAAGCTAAACTCTATGAAGGCAGGGTCAGAGCCTACCAGTTTCTGTCTTTTCCTAAAAGATTGATAAACAACAAAATAAAGAAGACTAGACTCTGATACAGTAAATAAAAGTAACCATCTCAAGAGACAAGCTGAGTATCAAACAAACCACATAATAAACAGGGGTGTGGATAGGGGGTAGGGTCCTGGTAGCAGAGAACGTTACAGCAGGCAAGGCCAAGGATGCAATCCCAATCCCTGGTACCATCAAAACCAGAGAAACCAACCCCCTCAAAACTGCATTCGTCTCCAGGCTATGCAGAGTATTTTCAGATCTACACAAGAAAGTAAGGCAATAATGAAAAGAAACAGAGGCCCACCGCAGCTTCCTTGGCCTTGAACTCCTTCTCCCTCTGCAGGCGATACTGTTCAATCTCAGCCTGGGCTTCTTCTTTGGCCTGCTTCAGCCTCCGGTTCTTTCCTGGTTTTAAAGAGAAAGACATCAGGAAGTATTTCAAAGCAGAACAGCAAGTAGATGCTGCTGCTGAATCTTAACATGATGAAAATAATTAATGTTAGGCAGTGGGGATGTGCACCGTTAATCCCAGCACTCACACTCAGAAGGCACAGGCAGGTGGATCTCTGTGAGTTCAAGGCCAGGCTGGTCTACAAAGCAAGTTCCAGGACAGCCAGGGCTATTACATAGAGAAACCCTGTCTCAAAATAGATAGATAGACAGACAGACAGACAGACAGAGAGAGAGAGAGAGAGAGAGAGAGAGAGATGATACAAAGATAAGCAAGCAAGCGATAATAATAATAAAAACACCCGAGAGACAGACAGGAAAGAGAGAATACAGATCTAAATTACAACGTAGGATCTGCCTCCAGCCTGTAAGTGGAGACAGCAAAGGAACGCCCTTTAGAGTTGTGAGCAGTGCAAGAATACCTCAGTTCAATACCCAGAACGGCACACACACTCCAAAGGGAACCTGTGAAAACGAAGACATGCTGTGGAATGTCAGCACAGTCTCTCAGTCTCAACTATTAACAATCTGGTAACATAAGATGGGTGACAGCCGTCTGGGGAGCTCTTCCTCATCCCAAATAACCAACAGCTAGCTGTGTCACTGCTATAACTGCAGGTCTTAGGAGTCTGCTGGAAACTAACGCACTCAGGGAACATCACCTAAATGTAGTTATGGAAAGAGGTGACGTAATATTGGAAACAGGCACCAGGGCTGTAGAGAATGCTAAGTGCACACACACACACAACTGGGAGGGAAGAGAAGCAGGGGACTGGGGAGAATGCTAAGTGCTATGTCAGAGCGTGTGGGCGCGCACACACATACACAGCTGGGAGGGAAGAGAAGCAGGGGTTCGGGTCTCTGGAAGACAGCAGCTTAACATGGATTTGTAAAGTCTCCAAGTTGTCAGAATATAAGTTCAGCCAAGAGTCAACAGTCAACTCTGAGAGAAAGAGAGAGAGAGAGAGAGAGAGAGAGAGGGAGAGGGAGAGGGAGACGGAGACGGAGAGGGAGACGGAGAGGGAGACGGAGAGGGAGACGGAGACAGAGACAGAGACAGACAGACAGATCTGTGTAGCCTTGAATGTCCTGAAATTCACTATTCACAGACCAGGTGGGCCTCTGTCTCCCATGTACTAGAACTACAGGTGTATGCCACTGTGCCAAGTTTCACCAACAGAGAGTTCTAGATTAGCTTAAATGGGTTAAGTAATTATAGCAAAAGACAGCATGCGTCTTTATAAAAATCAAGCGTATCTTTATAAAAATCAAGACATGACTGTATTATTAATTGTCTAAGGCGCACTCTACCCAAGTGGACAAAAGAAAGTGAACTGACTTCACCCAGATTAGGAGAATTCTGGACCTCTAATGATGACTGTAACATCAGTACTGTCTGACAAGTCTGAAACAGTTTCCCTACACTCCCTGAGGATTATTTCTGCAACTCTACAGTTGAACACTTCAGCTCTCTTCTCCTGTTCTCCCCCATCAGCTACATGGGCTACATTTAAAGCTGAAGACCTTTCCCAAACCAAGACTCTATCAAAGACATCCATGGCCCAACCATTATGCAGAAACTGCAAGATAATTTCATAACTCATCATTTCCAACTTCCACAGCTCCCTGAACCAGTCACTAAGACAAGACAACCACTGCCTTTTGGCAAACACCTTCAAAGTTGTATTGACAGACTTCTGAAAAATCAATACCAGTAGATCACACAGATATACATTCCATTGGACCAATAAGCCTACACACTAAGCAAGTTCACCACACTTCAATTCCCAGAGGTCCCCCCACCTCTGCTTTTGGGTTTTCATAGCCTGTGTTGGCCCCCAAGTTGGGGGTCCTCCTGTTTGGGATCAGCCTCCCTTACAGTTAGGATCATCGACCCCAAAGATTTCTTTTAAATCATGTCCTTCTCAGACCTTCTAAATGGGAACCAGGGTTTTTGTTTCACACCAATGAAATAAATCATGGAACACTTTTATTCTCAAAGTCCCAAAGTAATGATCTCATGAGAAACATAGGCTTGATTATTTTACACCATACACCGTTCCTTCCCAGCTCTGAGTCAAATGTGCTCACAAATCAAGAAGGGACAGTTTTCAAATTTTAGCTCTTTTCAACACCTCTCTTCCCAGTATTGACAGTCTTATAATGTGAGTTAACTGTAAGCTAAGCCCTTTAAAACAAACTCCTCCAGCAAATAACAGCTAGCTGACCCACACGAGCTCCTGCAGCAGAGAAAGGTTGAAAACCTACAAGTCAGTCCTTCCCACCAGTTCAAGTATCTGTTCTTGCGCCTCCTCCAAAAGGTCTCACATGCTTCCCCACAGGTCTCACATGCTTCCCCACACACCTGCTGTGGCCCCTGAGTCATCTCTGGACTAACTGACAAGTCACTCTGGAAATTCTGGATCAAGAATATGGCGACAGACTTGCCAGTCCCCCGAAAAGGCTACACACCATCCCCTGCACTCACAGAAAACTTCTTCCAGGAAATAAAGAGCACAACTCCTACCAGAGCCACACCTCAAGTCTACTTGGGGGTGGGCGTGGAGACACATGCCTTTCATGCCAGCACTGGGAGTAGACAGGCAGAGCTCTGAGAGCCCGCCTCAAAACACACACACACACACACACACACACACACATAAATGTGTACAAGTTTTATACTAAGAAAACTTCATTGTATGAGAAAGACCACTAAAACCCATACTGTTTTCTAGGGTGTGTTCAAATGAGTCATGTTTTTTCCACCTATAAATAGGAGTAAGTATATTGCCTGCTTACCTTGGAAAACTGATAGATAAAGTAAGAAACACAGTCTCCAGTTTCCAAAAGTTTAGTCTAGAGACAGGGCCAGGCAAACCAAAAATTTACTGTAATACTATGTCAAAAATAAGAACGGGGGGAGGGACTTCCAACCTTGTCTGAGGGCAGGAGAGGCTGCCCAGGAACAGCTGCCTACATTCTGAGATCCAAAAGACTGGCCGTTTGGGTACGGGACACACACACACACACACACGGAGAAAGGTACTTCCAATCAGAGGGAACAATGTGCAAAGGCATGCAGGAACCCAAATGAAGCTGCCGTGAAGGCTCCCAGTGATTCAGTACGGCTGGAAGAGAACGCCGCATGGAAGAACACAAACGCCTGATTGAACGAAGCGCTTCCTTTAATTCGTTATGAAATACCAGCTCCAATCTGCGGGCGCTATGGCACTGCCTGGAAGGAAGGGTAGTGGGGAAGTTATATGCACAGTCTAAGCAGGTGTGGAAACACTGGTTGCAGAATACGACTGGCCCCTTCCACTCCTCACACCAGTTAGACAGGTGTGGTAAAATGACTTTTCTGACCGCCTTGCCCCTCTCAACACTGGCCTTTCACTACCTACACACATCTGTTTAGTTGGTATGTGCTCCTCCACTGGAACATGAGATAGCCTGTGATGAAGAACGGGGCACTCCTCTAGCCTAGTTCAGGGGGACAACAAAAAAAAAAAGAGAGAGAGAAATGAACGAGTTAGACAGCTACATGAACTCGGGTGGTTGAACTAAGATGCCGAAGCAAGAGATGGAATGGGGTCCGGACAGAGAGGCTTGGCAAAGAGCTTAAAATGACAGGGGAGAGCCCAGGATGATTTAGGTTCTCAGACTCGACCACTGTGGCGGTGGCTCCCGCGACTGGGCCGAATCCTGGAGCAGACATTAGGTGGATGCAGTGGTTTCGGTGGGTGGCCCGCTACGCGCCCTCCACCCGGAGAAGGGGACTAACCCACCACCGTCTCCACGGGCAGCGTGTGTCCCGCCTGGCGACTTCCAGGCGCCGCCTGGCCACCTTCTGGCCCGGACACTGTCCCGGGCCTCCGCCCGCGGCCTAACCTCCGTCCCCCGCCCGGGATCCCGCCCCACCCCGGAGCTCACGCTTGCGGGCCTCGGACACCTTCTCGGCCGCCCGCTTCTCGGCCTGCAGCAGCTGCTGGATGCCTTGCGACTGACTCGCCATCGTTGCGGGGACCCTCGGCAGAAAGAACCGCCTAAATCAACGGCTACAACACACTAAGGAGGCCCTTGGGTCAGCTGACCAGCCGCCCACGATCTGCGCCTGCGCAAAGCGCCGAAGCCCCGCCCCGCGCCGGCGCCGCGGCTGACCGCCTAGGCGTCCTGGGTCTCCCTGGAGGTGGGGCAGGGCTGAGCAAGGCGGAACCAGATTGCTGAGCAGTTCACTGAGCCTGCGCAGTGAAAGGGGGGTGGGGAGGGCAGCTGCTGCTTTTCCCTTCTATGTCTGTTAATGGCTGGTTTTGTTGTTGTTGTTGTTGTTTGCCTGGTACTGCCCCTGCCACGTGGTTATTTCCTTTCTCTTCAGCTAGACTCCTCACCTTTCTAGAACTTCTTCAGAATTTAGAACCTATTAGTAAGCAGTGCTGGCAATAGGGGTACAACCTGCAAACCCAGCGCATCCATACTCAGGATGCTAAGGCAGCAAGGATTCAGGTCAAGGCCTGACTATATTACATAGTGAGGCCATGTTTTGAATAAAAAAAGAAAGAAAGAGAGGTGCGGAGGAGAAGGAGGGAGAGGGGAAGGGAGAGAGGGAGGGAAGGAGGGAAGGAAAAAAAGTGGTGGGTGTTAATCCCAGACTCCAGTGGAGGGGGATCTGTTTCAAGGCCAGCCTGCTGTGCTGAGCAAGTTGGGGGGGGGGGGGGAGGAAGGAAGGAAGGAAGGGGAAAAAAGGAAAATTTCTGCTAATTTCTACTCAGACCTCTCTGCCCCCTTAGTGCTGGAAGAGAGGGAGGGAGGGAGGAAAGGAAGGAAGGAAGGAGGGAACAACAGTTAGGAAACTTCCTGGGAGTTCTTGGGTGAAGTTTGAAGCTCCAGGTTCCAACTCAAGCAAAGGCACACGCCCATGCTCACACTCAAGGGGTCTCAGCATGAAGTCAAACACCCCTGTGACTTCTGGACCATCCTTTTCTATTTTGTTTCCTTTTGCTGTGCTAGGTATTATAATTTATAAAGATATGGTGGGGGATGGGTCCCGCAAGTGGCAGCAGCAGGTGCCCTGTCAGGTGGCCTGAGGCCTCAGCAGGAGACAGACAGATAGATACACCACACAGAGAGTTTGGGTATATAGTTTATTTAGTGGGTTATGGAGGGAGGAGGGAAGGGGGATAGGGAAGAAGGGGCAGGGCCCCTCGGATCTATGGATCCTTTTAGGGATACTGTTCCCTTCCAGCCTAGTGCCTGTCACATGACTGCCCTTTCTCAGCCCCGTTATCCTGTGGACAAATGGATAAGGGCCTGAGCCAGTCGTTTCTGCCTCACCTGTAGGAAACAGGCTGACATCTTTAACTTCCACCAGCAGCCAGTTAAATGTGAATAGTTACACCACATGGGCAACCAGGGCTGCTGCCATTTTGTTTGAGCTTAACAAAGGGAGGAGCCAGAGACTCTTGAGGTTCCGCTCCTAGCCAGAGAGTGCCTACTTGGTGTATTTGCATGATGGTTCACCTTGGCAGAGCCAAGCAAGGTGCCCATTACACACAGACCCACCTACAGTGCCTCTCCTCCCCTGCAACGACTCTGCTTTCCCGATAAAAAAGCCAGCTTCCTCTCGCTCACTTTTCATTTAACTTTATGTGGAACTTAAATTCTGTGTAAATGTATGTATACTTACTGTTAAATGTTGTAATTGTCTGTTCATTGTATCCATTCCAGACTATGAAAACAGTTAAGTCTCACGTTTTAAATTGGTATGTACTCTTAGTTCTCTTACAAAAACACTGTATATGTAACCCAACCCTGCTTTAAAATATATTAAGCTGACACACAATCATAGGTTAAAAAGAGTAAAGAAAAATTAAAAAATTAAGCTGTTTTCCACTATTGTCAGTTCTACCATTAAGCTTCTATTACAGTTTTTTCTTCTTTGTCTTTCACAAGAATGAATCTCACCTGTTAAGCTGAGAGCCAGTACAGTCAAGCTTGGACCCAGCTCTCCAGGCAGATTCTACGCTGTAGTTATAACTTATCTATACCCAATAAACAGCCCTCAACTGCTCAGAGATCTGGGAAATGTGGCATTTAAATGTTTAATTATTAAAAGACTTTTCATAACAGAGAGACAGGTTGGATCCTAGCAGCAGCACTCTGTTTCCTCCAAAGAAAACAGAAGACAGATGGGCACAGTAACGTCCATCCACAATTCACTTCATCAAGAGAAAGCGCTAACCACTGGGAAGAACTGCCTTTCATCTAAACTGAAGATCTCCAGATGTGGACAAAGAATCAAATGGAATCGACTTGCCTAGCTGCTCAGGCCAACGTAGGCTTGTCTTCCTACAGATTTTCTAACCCACAGGTTCTTCTGGAGCCTGGCAGGCCTTGCTTCTAACAGCAGAAGACAAATACAGCCCTGATGCCCTTGCCCTCGACCGTAGAGGATGCTGAAGCGTGGCTGCATGTAGCCAGTAGAGAAAGTTCTCTGTCATTTTTTAAATCAATAATTCAAGTAAAATTTTATCCTTCTCAAAGATCTCTGATGCCGTTTGACAGCTGAGAGGTTTTATCAGTTTAAAAGACAGCCTCACCAAACAAATTTCATAGTCTTAAGATATACAAATGCAAGTTATTAAAATGTGTACCTGCAAGTTATAAAGGTGTGAGGACAAATACAATTATCAAATTTCTCTCTCATGCTGCCTTTCAGGCTTAGAGATACTTTTCATTGTACAAAAACATCTGTCACAGTCATTTTGACATAAATATGCTGCTGTTTATATAATGTATATGTCTAAAGCTTATGTCTTCACAAACTCAAAGAATTCTTATGAGTTCCAGGGAGGTGAATTGTAGGATCCACCTTAAACAGGTCAGATATACCCTTCTCAATCCCCTGGTCCTAAATTTAACTTTGTCCTCTGCTCCGCCAACATCTCACCAGGTCCAAAAACACCGGACAGTTCCACACCACGACCAGCTTCCCCAGGAGGTAACCAGAGCCCAGCAGTCTTAGGCCCTTCCAAGAAAGACTTCGACACCCACAGATAAGCAGGAAGCAGCACTGATAATCCGCCGTCCCAATTCCTTCAATCTGCTATGCCTAACTCCTGCCTTTTTATTATAACAAAAAGATGGGAATGTAATCTGCTGGCCTGGTCTGTCACCTGGATACCTGTCCCTTTAAGAGAAGAGCCACGCCCACTCCCAATCCCCCCCCCCTTCTGCTGAGTGCTGAGGCAAGTGCACCTCCCACCAGTGCTCACTGTGAACACTAGCTTGCTTGAGCTCTCTCTCTCTCTCTCTCTCTCTCTCTCTCTCTCTCTCTCTCTTTCTCTCTTTCTCTCCCTCTCTCTGCCCTTCTTCTGGAAAGGCAGCATCTGCCTCTCTCTCTCTCTCTCTCTCTCTCTCTTCCCCTGCTTCTTCCCTTCCCCTTCCTCTCCATAATCCTCTAAATAAATTCTATATCCAAACTCTCTCTGCATGGCTATCTATCTGTCTCCCACAGAGGCCTCAGGCCACCCGCTGAGGGGTGACCCACTGCTGCCCTCCTGGGACCAGGTCCCCCACCACACCTTTATATCTCTAGGATGAAGTAAGAGGAGTCACCAGCAGACACAGAAAGAAACAGGATGGGCATGCCACACTGAGAAAAAGTACTGAGCCATGTGGCAAAGCATAGATAAAAAACTGGAGTTCATTTCAATGTAAGAGTTAGCCAGGCGTGATGGCGCATGCCTTTAATTCCAGCACTCAAGAGGCAGAGGCAGGTGGATCTCCATGAGTTAAAGGCCAGCCTGGTCTTCAAAGAGTTCCAGGGCAGCCAAAGATACACAGAGAAATCCTGTCTTGAAAAAACAGAAAAAAAAAAAAAAAAGAAGAAGAAGAAGAAGAAAGTAAGGCATAAGAGCTAGCTAGTAAGAAGCCTGACCCACTTTCCGAGCATCTGAGTGCCTTTGGAAAGTGGCAGCTGTGGGAAAGAGAGGTCTGCCTACAAACAACAACACAATAAAAGAAACTTTCACTAATCTGTATTGATTCCAAGTAGATCTGGTGCTATTCTAGATTCGTAGACTAAACAAAGACCCAAACCAGTGGCTCGCAGCCTTCCCAGTACTACCACCCTTTACAATTCCGCAAACTGTGCTGACCCCACAAGCACAAGATTATTTTCATTGCTACTTCTTAACTGTAATTTTACTACTGCTATGAATCACAATGTAAATATCTGTACTTTTCAATGGATTTAGGTGACCCCCAAAGGGACTGTGACCCATAGGTTAAGAACCACTGATCTAAACTGAACATGGTGGCACAAACATATAATCCCCATACTCAAGAGGCAGAGGCTGGTGGATCTCTGATGTGGGATTACCCTCTGTATGCTGTGATTATCATTAAAGAATAAAGAAACTGCTTTGGATCTATAGCAGGGAAGAATTTAGCTAGGCAGGGAAAACTAAACTGAATGCTGGGAAGAAGAAGGCAGAGTCAGGGAGAAGTCATGGAGCCTCCACTGGAGACAGACACAGTAAAACTTTGCTTGTAGGCCACAACCTACATGGTGATGCACAGATTAATGGAGATGGGTTAAATTAAGATGTAAGAGTTAGCCAGAAATACGCTTAAGCTATTGGCCAAACAGTATTGCAAATAATATGGTTTCTGTGTGATTATTTCTGGAGTCTGGGCGGCCAGGAAACAAACAAGAGGCTTCCTACAACAGATCTCTGTGAGTTCAATGCTATGCTGACCAGGTCTCTACATAGTGAGTTCCTGGATGGCCAGGACTGCATAGAGAAACCCTATCTCAAGAAAACAAACAAACAAATGACTTAATAGGGGCTGTAAAGATGTCTTTGTGGTTAAGAACACTTAGTTTTCTTGCAAAGGACCTGGGTTCAGTTCCCAGCACACATATGGTAGCCAATAACTATCTGCAATTCCAGTTCCAGAGGATTCAACATCCTCTTCTGACCACTGGGGATTGCATGCAGGTGCTACACAGACACATGGAGATAAAATATCCACACACAAAACTAAAATAAAATAACACACAAAAGAACAAAAATTAGCTTTACTATTTCATGCTTGTTGGGTGGGA